CCCTTCTTCCTTCATGTGCTGTTCCTCCAAATTTTTGCCCACTTTCTTCTACCTCCTCATTTCCCATTTCCTCCTCACTTTCCTTCCTCTCCCTCTTCTGTTCTCTCCGTCTCTTTCTTCTCTTTGCCCCCCACCTCTTTTCTCACTGCCCCCTTCTTCCTCCTGCCTCCCTCCTCTCTGCATGAGTGGGTGCTCCCACTTCTGCATGGACACGGCCTGATGCTTCCAGCCTTGGCCTTCCCTGCTGGGAACAGGGTCCGGGGTGACTAGGTGAACTTTCAGCCCCCCCGTGGGCACACAGGCCTTTGCAACAAGGGTGCTCAGTGAGGGTTTGGGACAGCCCGGCTCCCCAGCTACCTTGGCCAGATCACCTGGGCTGCCCGGCCAGAGCCTCAGCAGGAGCCAGGCCGAGCTCTGCGTGGACCAGCGGGCACAAGACGCAGAGTGGTGCCCTGCCACCTGCTGCACTGTCCATTCTGGAGTACAGCACTCCCTGGGGACAGGGCACCCCCTCTGACCTCATCCTGAATCTCTGATCCTAGGACCCATGGCCAAGAGTCAGAAGCCCTGGGTGTGGTCCTGGCTTTTCCTGTGACCTCCTCTGTGACACTCCCGGGCAAGTCTCTGAACTGCTCAGAGCTCTGTCTCCCAATGTGACAAATGGAGGATCGTAGGCTTGCCACGTGCCTTTTGCATGGTGGCTTGATGTGCCCCAACATGGTGGACCCTCCATCAAGAGTCACGTTGCTCTGTTAGAGGGCGATGTCATCCACTAGCATCTCCCACCAGCTCTTGGACACACAACCCCTAGACTTTTAGCTCTGGGGAGGGAATCACCTCATCCTTTCTCTGCTCCTCGGAGCCCAGAGGCCCAGGGCAGGGAGAAGACGATGTACTCAGGCTTACCCCAGGCCGTGGCCTTGAGCAGTTCCGGGAAAAGCCTTGGGGGTGGGGTGGGGTGGGAACTGTTGACTCCCAGTGGCAATATCTGGTGCTCTCACGGCCCCTCCTTCTCCCAGTCCATGGATAATGGGGAGATGGTTCTAGCAGAATGCCTCCTGTCCCCCTCCTCTCCTGTCCCTCCACCTTTTCTCGGCCCAGTGGTGGGGAGTGCAGTGTTCGGTGGGGCCTGGGGGTTTGGGCAGTTCTGGGGGGTCCTGAGGGGAGCTGGCATGGCTTGCCCTGGGGCTGCTAGTGTGGTTGCCGTGTGGCTTTCTGGTGCCCTGGCCCAGCAGGTGGCCTCCCGGATCCCCTCCCTTCTGGAGCCCCAGGCGAGCAGCCGGACACCCAGCCCCGCCACCTGGAGCTGAGAAATCCAGTTTTTTGGAAATTGGAAGGCTGGAAAGAAGAGCTGGGTCTGTCGGGGTGGAAGTGGCCAGTCCTGGGGCGGGTAGGGGAGGCATGTGAGGAAGCCTGACACCAGGGCATATGTCCATGGAACTCGGGGGTGGTGGGCAGCCGTGCTCCATCTATTAACCAGGTGTATTGATGTGTGTTAGGGCTACAGCCCCTAGAATTGCCCGTGTGTGTGTGTGTGTGTGTGTGTGTGTGTGTGTGTGTGTGTGATGAAGGCGATCACGGCCTCAGTTCCAGCCCACTTTAGGGGAGCCTTGGAGCCAGCTGTTCCCCCGAGCACAATACCATCCTGGGGAGCAGAGTGAGGACCCCGGGAGATGGGGCTGCTCCGGCCCCTTGCTCTTCAGGTCTGGTGGTCAATGTGGAGGCCCCGGGCTGAAGTGACCACTGTCCTCCAGGAGGAGGGGAAGGTCCGATGCCCACAGTGTGTGAGCAGCCCTTGGAGGATGACAAAGGGCTTCTGGATGTAGCGCGTTATTAACCCAAAGGCCACTTTCTGGCCGCTCCTCGTGCTGCCGGGGCTGGAGGGCTGGACTCACCAGCTTTCCTGGGAGGACCTTCCAGAGTCCCTTGCCTGCCTCTCTTTCCCCCTTTCTTCGTGAGCTTCCTCTGGCCCCCGTTCTTCTGCTGGGGAAGGGCTGAGCGTGGAGGTTCTGAGGGTGACTGTGACCCACCACTGTTCCTGCCAGGCTAAGGCTGCGTGCGCCCACACGTGTCTGTACGTGTGTGTGTACGCGTGTGCCTGTGTGTGTGCAGGGAGCGGGGCACGTAGACGGAGGCCCTGAGAGCGGGGCCGGGGCCAGGAGACCAAGAAAGTCCTGGGGTCGGGGGTGGGGGAGGGGAGGAGGCCGGTGGGGAGTGCGGGTCTATTTTTATTATCCGTCAGCCTCTGGGACATGAGGGAGTGGTGTTCTCTCTCTGACACTGGCTGTCAGCTTGTGTCCAGACGTCCCAGCTTGGCTGAAGAACAATGGGGCTCTCTTCTCTCCCCTCTGCCATGGCCCGTCTCCCCTCCCGTAGAGAGAGACAAGAGAGAGGGAACATGGCTCTCCAGGCGCTCCGGGGCAGATCTGGGACTGCCAAGGCGGACAACAGTGGGACACTGTGTTCAAACAATGTGAGAGGCCCAGGCTGGCCACTGGGGCCGTGGGCGCTCTGCGGGAGAGGGGCTGTCCCCTTGGGAGTGGTATGCCGGGTCTTCCCCCTTCTGCAGAGGGAGGCTCTGCCCTGCAGGACCCTAGCTCTTTGGACGGCAACCTGTCCATCCCCCCTGCCTCTGGACAGAGCCAGTCCCACTCCAGTGGTGGTGGAGAGGCGGCTTGGAGAGGTGTGATTACCCTCAAGTGTCTGACTGCCTTGGGCCAGGTCTCGCATCCTCCAAAGCCCAGAAGCCCCTCCAACGGTCCCGCCTCTTCTCTGGGCCGCTGCAACCCTCTGCATCCCCAGAATGTGGGGGATGTTCTGGGTGCGTCGGGGAGAATTTTCTCTGTCCCTCTGGGAGACTTAGGGCCTCGAATTGAAACAGACCCAATTTTCAAGGGCAGATATCGGATCCCCAAACAGGGAAACTGGCCACCCCTTGCAGAGGCACGGGTACCTGCCAGAAAGAGGCTGCGGGTCTGGGCCAGCCGGAACTGAGAGCAGCCCTAATGCGTTTCTTTTAACCTTGGGGCTGAAGTTGGTTCCAAACCCCAAGGGCCTTTCCCAAATGGGCCTCCTTTGTCACGATTATTATTAGAAAATCAATGGCTACGGTCTCTTTCTCTCTAATGTTTTTGCCAGGAGTGGAACCAGCAGCGGCTTTGGACCAAGCTGCCCCGGAGGCCTGAGGGGGAAGGGGGCTCGATGGTGGGGGGAGCATGGCCAAGGACAGGGCCGGTCAGGGTGCAGACTGCTTCTCTGAGGGCTGGCAGACTGGCATTGCTGTAGGGTCCCGGCTGCTGCCCCACCCTTTAGAGCCAGGCCCCGTCTTTCATCCGTGTTGATGATCATAGCAGCCCCTGGTGAGGACTCTGCGATCCCCATTTTTCTATTCTGAAAATAAAGGTCCTTCGAGGCAAGGGGTTTATTTGCTTTAAGTAAAGCAGTTGTGAGTCTGGTTTACTGTCTTTAGCCAGGGCTCTTTTTTCCTCAGTTGAGATGGTAGGCAGGTTGCCTCTGATTAACGAAGAGCCCGAAGTGGAGCCTCAGAACATCCCCACCCCCCCGAAAAATAAAGAGCACCGCCCCACCCAGCTACCTTCTGCGTTTACATGTGCTCTCCAGGCGGGGCTCGTAATCATGAGATAATATGAGCGCATGGCTTGGAGCGATGGTGTGAGTGTTTGAGAGTCTGTGTCCATCCCTAGACTCGGCAGCCGGCAGCCTGCTGTTCATGACAAGTAGGGAGGCTTCCCAGCCTGTGCTTGTCATGACAGCTTTAGTGGCTGCTCCAGGCTGGAGCTGAAGGGCCCCCAGGGCCATGCAGACCCCACTGCGGAGGGTACAAGGTGATTCAGTCTGAATTAGGGTGATTTCTGCTTGGCTGAGCTGGCGTGTTCCTGGGGCCAGCTGTGTGTGTGTGTGTGTGTGTGTGGTGTGCATGTGTGCCACGAGGCGGTTGGTCTGCCCACAAGTGCTGGCTTGAGGCTGCTGTGGCCAGGGTCTCACAAGACCTTTGATGAGTCCCAGCACCCCTTCTTACCTGCCCCCTCGGGTGGTGGTGAAAGTAGGGCTGGGAATTTCCTCCTGCAGGATAATGAGGGCAAGGGGCCCGCCCTCAGGCTGGGTCTTGGCCTCTGGGCCCCGGGGAATAAGTTCTCTAGGATTCTGGAGCCAGCTCAGTGAGGCAATGGGTTTCGTGCGGCAGCCCAGCTGTGGGAAGAGGGAGTGGGAAGGGAGGAGGGTGAGATTAACAACATCCCCAGGCCTGCGGAATGGAAGGGAAGTGCACAGAAGCAGATGGGGCGCATGGCTTCAGGCTCTTTGCCTGCTGCTCTGCTGGGAGAGGCAGGCTGGAACCTGGGCCATCTTTGGGGCAAGAGAAGGGTGAACAGATAAGGGGCCAGCATAAAGGAAGCGGCAAGGAGCTTTCAGAGGTGCACTGGATGAGGGTTGGGCCATCCCAGAGAAGGCCAGCAGTATTCTGGGGGCCAGCTGGGGCTGGGGACACTGTGACAAGACTTAGTCATTTCTTGGTTTCTTCTCGGGAGCACCATTTGCAAGATGATGCATCATTCATTCTTTCCAAAAGTCTTCCCCACGGGCCTGGTGTTGCTTGTTGGTTGATGCAGTCGCCTTGGAGACTGATTCTCCTCCCTCCACCTTCCCTCTTTTGCCTGGAAGCTCTGGCCCTCTGCCTCCGGGGCTTGGAAGAAGTTGACATCTGTTTCTTGTATCAGTCCTTTGTGCTCTGGGCCCCAACCCTGTGCAGAGTAGAGATTCTTGGTGAAGGCCAGCCAATCTAAGCCGATCCCCCACCCTGCAGAGAAACCGGGGTGTGGGCAGAGGGAGGCTGGTGGGAGGATGTGCTGAGGGGAGACAAGCCCAGCTCCAGCTGGGCCCCCAGGGCTAAGATGCACTGCCTTCTCTGGGGGAATTAGGCCCGATGGATCCTTTCCCCCACATTATGCTCAGTGCCCTCTGTGTCCTGCCATTCCTCCCAGGGGTGCAAGCTCGGGAGAAGCAGCCTGCAGAGCCCCCAGCACCTCTCCGGAGGCGGGCGGCCAGCGATGGGCAGTACGAGAACCAGTCACCAGAACCTGCATCCCCCCGTAGTCCTGGGGTTCGCTCCCCTGTCCAGTGCGTCTCCCCAGAGCTGGCTCTCACCATCGCTCTCAATCCTGGAGGGCGGCCCAAAGAGGTGAGTCCTGGGACCGTATCCTGGGGCCACAGAGTGTGGCGGAGCCCACCTGAACTATTGAGGAACTTGATGGTTAACTGGGCTGCAATGACCTGTCAGTAAACTCAGTAATTTTTCCTCCCTGCATCCTCAGCCTAGGTCTCCTCTCAGGCTTGTGGAATCTGGAGCCCATTTCCTTCCCTAAATAGCTTTTATGCCCCTACTTCTTCCATGAACACTGAGACTGAGGTTCCCTTCTTGATTCCTAAAGGGCACCCCGTAGTAGGGTGGTAAGGATCCTGGGTATGATGTAGGTGACCATAGTCTCTAAACTCCAAGCCAGATCCTAGAGACTGACTTTGTTTCTGAGCCCTTTCTAGACGTGTGGTTTTCTTGGGAGATCAAATTTCAATGTCAAATTGTTTGTATTTCTGAGACGTTCAGTAGTTTGAGGAAGTAGGTCTTAAACTTTAGCGAGCATAACAATCACCAGGGAATCTACTAAAAATGTAGATCCCCCAAGTCCCCCTCCAGAGGTTCTAGCCTATTAGACCTGGGATGGGACCCAAGAATCTGCATTTTAAACACGCACCCTGGAAGATTCTGATGCGAGTGGCCCATATTTGATAAAATCCAGGTTAACAAGTCATTCTGGATATAAATGGCGTTTGGACATCTTTTCTCTCTCGCCTTCAGTAACCTGCCCTCAACGCCTTCTCTTTGGCCCTGTTGTGAAATATTCCCAAGGCAGGTGCTGCTGGACCATGGCCTTGCAAATAGCCACTTTCTATTCTCTTGGCTGTGAGGAGTTGTTGGGCTCACGGCTGGCGAGGATCTCCCTTTGACCTCTGTGTTTACCAGGGGAGGGCGGTGGTCAGGCTGGTTAACTGGGAGCCCCTCCTCCTCAGGGTCACAGCCACTGTTTTCCTCCCTTGTTCTTCCGCAGCCCCATCTGCACAGCTACAAGGAGGCCTTTGAGGAGATGGAGAGAACCTCCCCGACCAGCCCACCGTCCAGTGGGGGTAAGAACTTCACACTCAGCCTGCCTTCCCTGGGTCCCCTCTGGCCTGTGTGAGCACCCAGGTTTGGGGGTGCAGGCAAAGTTGGGAGGGGCCAGAACCTGCCGCCTCCCATCCCTATGGCTCATTTTACTCCAGCTGCCCTCCCCCGCTTCTATTCTTTTCTGCCGTCCACGCTCACACGTCTAAGGATGCAGCAGCCGCAGTCCTGGGATCCGGACTGACCTCCTGTGGGGCCCGTGGGCTCCCACGTTATGGAGTTTGCTGGTTGCTGAGAGTCTTCGCATCCTATGTGCAAAACATCCCCCATCCTAAAGGGACTCTTTGTGCCCTGCTGGTGTGTCTCTGAGACACCCCTTGACCTTCATGCTTCTGATCCCCATTTTTGTCTGCATCCAGGTACCTCTTCCACTTCAGGCAACCTATTTAGGTTCCACCGAGGAAAGAAAGGCTCAGAAGCCTCAGGCTGACCATATCCCCATCTCATTCATCCCTTGGCTTCCAGACAGGAGCCTTTAGTCTGTATCCCTCTGATGCTCTCACAGGAGAGGCAAATCCCTGAAGGGCAGAGACGTTTTTACCCAAAGAGAAGACCTGGGTGAGCCCAGGAGAGGGGCAGTGTTCCTTTTTGTGGTAGAAGAGACATGAGGAGGAGCTGGAGGAGGCCTGGGAAAGCAGTGATGGAAAGCAGTACCAGGCTGTGAAGGACTCAGGGTCCCTGTGAGAGGCCTGGGTCGGCAGAGGTAGAGAGGCTGGCGATGCTCCAGGATCAGATTGGGTGGGCCCTGCCCAGGCTATTCATTTGTCCCGCTGAGAGGGGAGGAGGGTGAGGACAGGGGAGTTGGAGTTGCCCATGTGTTCTCCTGGTGGTCGGCTGTCCCGCAGAGGGGAGGAATGTGACACTAGTACCTGGCCCCTGTGCCAAAAGAACTCGTGTTGGCTACCATCTTGGACACGCAGGAGGCTGAAGCTATGAGTGGATGCCATGGCTGTCCCTAGAGCAGTGCTGTCCAGTGGAAAAATAACTTGAGCCATGATTGCACTGGAGAATTTACTAATAGCTCTATTGAAGAACATACAGGAAACTGGAGAAATTAATTGTAATGATTTTTAAATTTAACTCAAAATATCTAAAGTATTATAATTTCAATAGGTAAATCGAAATAAACATATTAATGAGATATCTTACAATCTTTTAAAATAAAATCTAAAAAGAGGCTGGTGAAATTAATTTTAATAGATTTTATTTAACCCCAAGGATCTAAAATATCATTTCAACATGTAATCAGTATAAAGAGATACTTCACATTCTTGTTTCATACAAGTTTGAAATCACTGTGTGTTTTGCACTTACAACTTTGTTTAGACTGGCCACACCGCCTGTGCTCCATAGTCCCATGTGGCTCATGGCTACCATATTTGGACAGTGCAAGCCCAGGGCAATCTGCTCGAGATAGCTCTGTGCCTTTTATGACTCGTGGAATGTCTCTCTCTGGTCTTAACCCCCCACCTTCACACCTGCTCCAATTCCCTGTGGGTCCAAATAGCCAGGATCCTGGCCAGCACCCTGTTTGGGATGAAGCCATCTGGGCTGGGCTAGAGTTGGGTTCTGCCACATGTTTCTGTTCGCATCCTTCTTTCCCTCCCCTTCTCCCCTTGGCCAACCCCGAGAGAGCCCGGGGCAGGGAGGATAAGTTAGAGGTTTCCTCCATGCCCAGAGGCGGAGAAATGTGAGGAATTCTTCTCTCAGGAAGCCAAGCCTTGCCTGGCTTCAGGGCCACCCACTTGTCTGCCTCAGACGGGCCAGATGCCTGGGGACTGAGGACAGGGGTGATTAGGGAGTTGGAGGTGCTGAGGGGAGCCTAGAGAAACCTCCCACCGCCTCTGTCCCCTTGTCCCCTTCACCTCCTTTCACTGGTCCACCTGTGCCTCTGCTGCACCCGCTGGGCAAACACATGCAAACTTGTGGACTGGAGAGGCTTTGTGGTCATTCCACGGACAGTGGTCTCTGAGGCTGGGCTCATTCTTCCATAATTAATCACATTCAGAGTTGCAAGATACCTCTGTGTGTGTGTGTGTGCGTGTGTGTGTAATGAGAGAAAGAGGGATACACAGGGGCATGCAGGCCTAGACCTACGCCATGGCTAGGTGTTTGTGTCTGTACATATTTGTCCCCTCTGCTGTATTTGTCTGTTGGGCATCTCAGGGTTAGGGTGGAGCATAGGGGTGGGCCACCCATCCGGACTCTTGTGATGCCTCTCTATTCCCACAGACACCTATGTACACACCGGTATGTGCACACATAAGTTATTTAAATTGCTTTCATTGGGAGATTATATTTTGGGGGCTTAGTTTCCTACAGGTCTCACTGTCTTTGGGGAGAGGGAGGAGGTGCCAGGGAGGGTCCTGGAGCTGCTGTGTGCGACCTGGGCACCCAAGGGGCACAGCTGGTCTGTTGAAGCCATTGGTGTGGGGCAGGCAGTCTTGGGGTCTGGCACACCTGTGCGGCTGCATGTCCTCAGCAGCTGTGGCCTCTGCAGGGTCCCGAGAGCTGCGGCCGGAGACACAGAGCTCGTTTCTTTACTTCTCCTCAGAGGTGTGTTAGGAGACGTGGCAGCTGCCGCTGAGAAATCTCGTGACTGGGCATAGCAACCGCCCTGCAGCTCAGCTCGGAGTCCAGCCACGTCCTTGGCTAATGGGAGAAAGCCTGACCGCCCTTTCTGACCTTGTGTGTCATGTGACACTTCCAACCCAGACGGGCGGCTTGTGAGGGAGCTGGGGCTCCTGTGGGGTGGTGGTGCTCTTGGCCAAGGACTGTAGAGATGGGGCTTCTCCCTCTTCCAAACACTGAGGTTTGGCGGTCAAGAGAGCCCCCTGCTGAGAAATTCTCTCTTCGTGGGGCTTGCAAGAGACCTGTTTGGCTGGGGGCCAAAGACCTGTGGCCGAGGGCGAGCCTGGGGACTCAGGGTTGGCTCTGCTGGTGGTCCCTTCTCCTCCTTCTGTCCTTTACATGTTGTGCTGTCTTGACACTCCATTTTCTTTAAGTCCATCTGCCTGTGTGCCTGTGTGTGTGTGCGTGTGTGTGTGTGTGTGTGTGTGTATGTTTGTGCGTGCCTGTTTGTTTGGGGGTGGGTAGGGAAAGTGAGAGAAGGGGGTTAGAGAGAGAATAACAGGGAAAGGCAGAGGGCACCCGAGAAACCAATGTGTATGTTATAAACCACGGCCATGCGGAGGGACCGTAGCAAAGGAACTCAGGGCCTAGGGATAGAAATTACTTTCTGGAGGTTGAGGGGCAGGGCCATTTGCTGACTTCCTTTAGCCTTTACACTGTGGAGAAACACAGAGACAGGAGAGGCAGTGGAGCCGCAGCAGCGTCCCCGGGGCTGGGGCTGGTTCGTCCGCTCAGCCTTCGGCTGCCCACCCTCCCCGACATGCCCAGACTCAGGAGGGGTCCTCTCCCCAGCCCATCACCTGCGCTCACTCCTGGGGTCTCGCCTCTTCTTCTCGGCGCAGTGCGCTCCCCTCCAGGTCTGGCCAAGACACCTCTGTCTGCTCTGGGCCTGAAGCCCCACAACCCAGCCAGCATCCTGCTGCACCCCACCGGCGGTGAGTGGCTCCAGTGGGAAGGGAGGTGGTCGGGGAGGCTGGAGGGAGGAGCGGGGGGTTGGAGGACCCCTGTGGTCCTGGGCAGGGCCCAGAGGTGGTGGGTTCTCAGGACCCTTCTGGAAACAAGGTGGCAGCCTAGCTCCGTGTCTATGATGAGATCAGGCCTCGGTGGGGCTCTCTGTGTGGGGTTTGAGGGGGACGGATACCTCTGTAGCCTTCCTGCCATTGCCTGGTGGGGTCAGTGCCGCTCCCAGCATCCTCTGACATGGGGGTTTGGAGGCCTGCCCTGTTTCCCTGGAGTCGGTTAGGTCTCTGCCGGAAGCCTGGCTTCCACCCCCCAGCGTCCAGGCGCTCGTGTACACGCGCACACCCCCGGCTCACACCTCGTCACACTTCCCGGCTCCTCTCCTCCCTGTGGGGAAGGGGCAAGTGGGGGCCCTGGGCCCTCAGTGGCCGTTTCCAACAGGCTGAGACCAGAAACTTGCTCCCTAGACTCTGGTTTGGGGGCTGGGCTGGGACTCTGGGGACAGTTTTGCTTCTTTTCCTTAGTCACCAGAAGACTGATCCAGCCAGGTAGGCGGGCAGTGGCGTGCAGGTGTGACCCACGCAGACACAGCAGGGCACAGCCTCCCTCTCAGGATGTGTCTGCATGGCCAGGGACACCAGCTCACTGGGAGGGGGGCTGCCTGTCACCAGGCCAGCACACTCCTGCTTGAGGCGCGGGAGCTGTGACAAGGACACCGGGCCTGCTGTTCCCAAGAGCGAAGGCCTCTCTCAGCGGTGCGCCCTGAGTGCCTCGCCACCCTGGAGCCCCGGGGCCCCGTCTGGGTGGACCGCACCCCTCACCCTGTGGCCCTTCTGGAGAGTCCGTCTCTGCCCCCATCTCACCCCTGCTTTCCCACCTCCCTTTTCTCAGCAAAGTCTCTCTCTCAAGAAATAAGCCATTAATCCATCTCTCTCTCTCCTTTTTGCTCTTCCTCTCCATCACCTGCCTCTCTTTCCTCCTCACCTCTCTTCCCATCTTCCCTCAGACGAGGATGAGGGGAAGGTGGTGAGAGAGCTTTCTGAAGGTAAGTGTGGCATCGCCGTGCTGCTGCTTCGCGCTCTCCGGTCTGGGAATGGCTTTTCACTCCGTTTGCTCTGCCTGACCTGGGGGGCCAGCTCTCTTCTCTGATCAGGTCTCATGTGACAGCACAGAGCCCCCTGGTCCCCACCCCTGTGCTGAGCTGTCACTCACTCCGGATGCTGACTGAGGCGCTCACGGCCGCAGAGCGCGGGTCCAGGCACGGACAGTGTCCAGGCGCTAGTGCGGTGCCACCTTGCCGACAAAACAGCCCTCCCCCGGCGGTGCTTCCGCCCGCCTGCCTGGGGTGCAGCAAGCCCCTTCAGAGGGCGGGTTTTTCTTATCCCATTTCCCGGGTGAGCCCCACATTTATAGCTCAGAGCACGGTTTCTCAGCCTCTGCACTACCGACGCTTAGGGCCGGACAGTTCTTAGTTGTGGGGCTGCCATGTGCATTGTAGGATGTTTAGCAGCATCCCTGGCCTCTACCTGCTACACGCCAGTAGCAGGCACCCAGTTGCGACAATCAAAATGGCTCAAACATGGCGGATAACCACTCCCGGGTCAGAACCACTGTCTTGGAGCCACAAGTTGCCTTCTTGAAGCCCTTGCCTGGTTTCATATCAACACAGACGGTAGGACGTCTGTCTTTCTGGGATCTTGGATGACTTTGGGGATTTTGGAAAAGCTATGGACTCACCCCTATACAGAGGCCTCTGGATATCCGTGCACATAATTGTGACAGGTTCAAGGAGTTAGAACATCTGTGTCCTGGCTTAACCCCTGATTTAGATGAACTCGCATCGCACACAGAGAAGCAGAGAGGGTATGTAAGCGGGTTGAAGGCCTTTAATTTATTAGGAACATAACTCCAATGATGCCTCAGAGCAGCAGGTGGAATGAGGGGAATGCCGGCCTGTGCGGCCTGGGTGGCCTGGGCATCCATGTCCCCGTCTCTACCGGGCTTGCTTGGACGAGGTGGGCTCCACTGAGCACCTTCTAGCTTGGATGTGTTAGATGTTCTGACTTCTCACCTTGGTCCTGGAGCTGTGTGGCCTGGTTTATTTAAACACTCTGTCCGGTTTCTTTCTTTCTTCCTTTTTTTTTTTGACTGCGCCACGGCTTGTGGGATCTTAGTTCTCCAACCAGGGACTGAACCTGGGCCCTCAGCAGTGAGAGCATAGAGTCCTAACCACTGGTTCTCCAGGGAATTCCTCCATCTGGTTTCTTAAGCCCACTTCCCACTTCCCTTTGCACTCATTACCTTGATTTTCTATCCCCCAATTGGGCATGGGCTGTGCCCCTCTGAATCTGCCATCACCCAGAAAAGATGGCTGGAGTTTCCCATAAAGCTTTGCTCGCTCCTAGCCAGCCAGAGTTCTGGCAACAATGCCAGGCTGCCTGGGGGGTGCAGAACAAGGCAGCCCCCCCCCAACAACAGATCCCAGAATGGGGAGAGCCACAGCGGGGCCTCACCCTCAGTCAACCTCATACCCGGGGAGAGGACCTCCCCCAGGCTGGTGGCTGACTGCTGATTCCCAACAGGAGTATAGAATCAGCTGGGGCCTGGAGCCAGTGTTCGTGTGCTGTGTTCCAGGTGCACACCCACACAGGAGCTCTTGAGTCCCTTCGTGGTTGCTGATCTCCACAGACTGGTGGGACCCACACGCTTTCCAGTGGGAAGGTCTGAGGGTGACAGGCCCTGGCTGTGTGTTCCCCACTTTGGGGTGACACTTCAACAGATCGGAAGTGACACCTGACCCTTGCACCTTATGAGAGAATCTAGGCCTACAGGGCCCCGAGCCCTCTGACCCTCTTCCATCTGTCCTGGAGCCACAGAGTTTGCAGGGGAAGGTTCTTAGGGCTTGACTCTACCACACCCATCATTTTCACAGATGTGGAGCTGAGGTCTGTGTTGTGGGGTGAGGGTGGGGCATCTTCCCAAGCTCACAGTTAAGAGGAAGCAGGGCCGAGACTGGACTTACTGGTCTCCTGTCTCCTAATCAAGGGGCTGTTTCAAAGCCCTCCTCCTGCCTCCAGGCGCCATGCCCTGGGATTCTAGCATGGGGATCGGAATTGTTGTCAATCCCCCCTCCCTGGGGAGGGAGGTGGGTGGAGGCAGGGGACATTCTGTTTTTCCTGACTCGTGCATCACCTCCCGGGTCAGACTTTGCTGACCCTCTGAAGCACTGCTTGATTTCCCTGCTGATACTCTGATGGGAAATTCAGAAAAAGATGCTTGTGAGGAAAAATAATCAGAGACAGACAGACTTACTCAGCTAGGGGAAAAAAGACTTCAGGGGAGTCTGTTCCGTTCAGTGTGCCGTGCTAAATGCTTTACATTCATTCATTCTGTCATTCGTTGATTCAACAAATATTTTGTGTGCCTCCTATGTGCCAGGCACCCTGGAGATATAATGATAAGCATACTATGATTCCTAATCTCGTGGAGGAAATTCATGAGCCGGCGCCAGAATTAAATTATCACCGAGAATTAAGTATTGAGATAAGTGCTCCAGAGCGAAGGGATACAGTTTTATGAGACCCTGGCTCATAAAAGAAGTAAGATGGGAGGGTGAGTAACATTAACCCAGTAACACTGGGATGGGAGAAGAGCATTCGATGTAGAGGTAAAGGGCATGTGCAAAGGCCCTGGGGCGGGAGGAACAGCATGTTCCCTGGAGCAAGGGCGGGGAGTGTGGTAGAGAGTGAGGGTCAGCAGGCAGGGGCGGGGCTGTGTGGGTCATTGTCATGTCATCTCGTTTAATAATCACAGAAGCACTGTGAGGAAGGTGGCAGGAACCCCAGCTTGCTGATCAGGAGATGACGTGTACGGATGTTAACTGACTTGTCCGGGCCCAGACAGTGAACTGGGGGCACGGCTGAGAGCCTACGCTGGATCAGCCCATGGAGGCTGCCCCTTTCCGTGTGATCGTACGGGGCACAACCTCTAAACGTAAACAGTGTCTTTACTGGGTACCCTTCTCCATGAAGGAAGGAGAAGAAGAAAGCCTGTAACAGTAAAGGCATGATATCCTCAAGATATCAAGGATATCTTCCTGGTGGGGAAACAGGGAAAGAAATTGCTGAACCTTCTTTCCTGGAGGAATGGGAACAGGGAACATTCAGCTTAGGTTCTGTCTGTTCAGATGATTAGACGGGATGGATGTGGCACAAAGGAAGACAGTGGACTAGAAATGGCCCCTCCGGGGATCCTTCCTACTCTGAGATCCTTGGTGATGGGTGTACTGTGGCATCTGGGTATTTTCGGGCAGTGCTGTGCAACACAGATTTACTGAGCGCCTACTCTGTGCCAGGTCCTGTGCTAGGTACTGAGGGCTTAAAGACGAGTGAGCTAGCCTGGTAAAGACAGATATCTCTGCATAAGGTAGAAGTGCTGAGCTGGGGGAGGAACAGGGTGTGATGGGAGCTCAGAGGAGGGCTGTGTGGCCCAATCTCAGAGTTTGGAATTCTAACTTTTGAGCTCCTGGATTGGGCCTCGGGGGGTTTTACTTCCTCCCTACCCCGCATCCGCATGTCTTCATTTCACTTGGAGTGGGCAGACCCTTTCTCTCCAGGCAAAGAACCTTTTCTGGGAGGCAGGAAATGCACTTCAGGGTGTGGGTGAAGAGCTGACAGTGCCCCCAGCCTGGTGGGGCTAAGTCGCTCAGCCTCATGTCCAGCTGCTCTCAGCCTCCAACAGCCACGTGGAATGGGTTTGGGCTCCTGGAATGTTCTGCACGAAGCACCCTCCCCGGCCCCTCCTCTCCTGCCCTTCCCAGTTCCCGCTGCCTCTGGGTGCAGCTGCTTGGGATCGGCAGAGAGGAGGAAAGCAGCACGAGAGAGGGTAGAGGGAGGCAGGCACAGGCACGGTTCGGGTACAGGTGGGCAACGGTGGGGCTGTTTATAAACCGGCATTGCAACTAGTGGAAAGGATTAGAAGGGACTTTCCTTGTCTTGTCACTCGATCCTAGCTGGGCAGGTGAGTATTCTCATTCCCATTTTACACATGAGGAAACTGAGTCCCAGAAACGTTCAGCAGCCTGCTCCAGGTCACCCCTCCAGTAAGTGAAAGAAGGGGGAGCCTTCTTCCCCCTTCTTTGTATGTTGTACTGAGGTAGGGAGGAGGGAGGGAGGATGGGGACAGACAGGAAAAGGGAGGTATTTTCAATATGGAAATCTGAGTCTGAAAACTTGGGAAAATGGATGTTTTGGCCCAAAAGGTTGGTTTTGAACAGTTCTGGAGATGGACTTGGAAAATCAGATATCTTCCCAAAGATCCCTCCTGCTCTGGGTTCATGAGGAAGAGAGATTGAGTGAATCTCTACCCCTGATTTGGGCCTGGAAGGTCAGCCAACCAAGGAAGAGGATGGAGGTAGAGAGTAAGGTGAGGGCAGAGCCGGGCGGGCTGGGCCTGAAATCCACAGGCTGCGAGCCTCAGAGCAAAGCCCCCAGGCTAGTTGGCCACCTCAACTCATAGGGCTGTTTCCAGCCTTCGTGGTGGGAATGGCTTCTGGTGCTTCTTCCTGGGTAAGCGGTCCTGTCCTCCAAGTTCAGATGCTGAGTCCTCTGAGAGCCCCTCTGTAGCTTAGGATCTGATGGGAGTGGGGACGGGGCTCACGAGCCTGATGCCTTATGAATGTGGCCATCCTATAGGATCTCGGGTTTCCTAATATCGCCAAACTTTCTAACATACAGTCCCATCGATGTTCTGTGCAAGCTACACTCAGGCTCCTGTCACCACGTCTGGGCCAGAAGGAGTCAGTGGGGACGTAGCCTTGAGTGATGGCAAACAGAGCAGATGGGAGTCAGCATCTGGGGTCCCAGGCTCGGCACGGTCCTGACTCTGGCACCAGGTGGTGTGGGCGGCCTTACCTCAGTTCTACTGCTGGTAAAAGCAGTATGCGTACTGTTTTACAGGATGGGGTGCTTATGTGAGTTGGGAATATAATATGAGTTGCTTACCCACTTCAGGTCTTGGCAGGAAACAGCTGGCTCATTCCAATGGGGCAACCGAGGAGACAATGGACTATTTAGAAGGTCTGGGCAAACCGACGAGGGATGGTGAAGCACCCCGCCACCGGGTGGCCCTCCTAGCAGGAGGTGGGAGCCATCTGCCCGCCGGGCCTGGAGGAACCAGGAGGGAGCCGGAGGAGAGGGCCCCCGACTGGAGCTGGGATCTTGGGTGGAAGATGCAGCCCTGGCACTTTGACCTTCTCTCCTCACCACCCCCCATCCCCTCCTAGTGTCTCCTACTAGCCAGCGGCCAAAGGTCAAAGCCATGTGGAGCCCTGAGGCCGGGGGTCTGGGGGATGCGGTCGGTAAAAGCTGGCCTGCAGGGACACAGAGCAGGTTGGGGAGTGGATCAGAAGGACATGGCAGGTGGAAAAGATCACCGACTTCAGGGCTCACCACGTGCATTTTAGCTTGAACTTTTGGGGTCAGCAAGAATTCAAGAGAAGGAGAAAAACGAATGTGTGCCTTTTAGGTCTTAGTTATTGTGCACCTCTGTGTGGGTGGGGCGGAGGGTAAAGGTCACACATCTACTAGTTTGTGGGACAGAAACTTATTGAGGACTTACTGTGTGCCAGGCACTGCAAATACAGATCAGCAAGGAGCCTGGGGCTGCCAGGGAGCAGATGGATCCCCTTGCCATCTCTGGGTGGGAGAGAAGGGTGCTAAGCAGTGCGGGCACCAGCGTGAAGCCGAGAGCCTGGAGGTGTCCAGGAGGAGTTTTCAGAGAGTGACCCCGGGGTGAGGGATGGGCAGGGAAGGTGGGCTCTGGCCTTGGGTCTCAATTGCCATTTCTGTGGGCGTGAGGGGTCCTGTCTGAGGTCTCTTCTGTCAGAGTTACCCCAGAGCATGGAGCCAGCCCCCCAAGGCTAAAGACACTGAAATTCTCGGCTCCCTGATTTTCACCTGGCGGTATGTGCAGGGCCCAAGAGCAGGACCTGGGCCAGGCTGCCTGTGTTCCTAGGCCGATTCTGCCACAGTCTGCGTGTGGCCCAGGCAAGACACTTACATTCTCCAAATTCTACTCGCCTCATACAGTTGTTTGCTATTTTTACTAATATTAATAGCCCTGTGGAGCTGGGTCTTCTCTGGCTGATGGGCTGGAGTTCTGGGTAGCAGCCAACTCTGGGTGTCCCAGGAGGCTGTGGCCCCTCTAGGCCACCCAGAGACAGCATTGAGAGTCAGGAGATGGTAGCCGTGGCCGCTGATTGGCTGTGTGTTCTGGGGCAAATCGCTCCACCTCTCTGGGCTGAGCAGACAGGTTACATCAGGAGCCAGCAGTCTGTGGCCAAATCCGGCCCATCATCTATTTTTGTAAAGAAAGTTTTATTGTAACACAGCCATGCTCATCGCTTAATGTATTGTCTGTGGCTGCTCGCGCGATAACAACAGCAGAACTGAGCAGCTGTGAGAGAGACCGTCTGGCCCTCTAAGCCTGAAATATTTACTGTCGGGCGCTTTTCAAAAAAAGTGTGCTGCCCGTCTCTTTGCTCCAGCAGGGCCTCAGGCTTGGACGGCATGGCATCATTGCCTTTGGAGGGGCTGTGGCCTGGGGCTTCTGTGGGGTGGGTGGGTGGCCCGGGCTGGATGAGGGGGTTTTTGAGGGCGCCTTGCTGGCCTCAGCCCACGTGGACTCTATCTCTGGGTGCCGAGGTGGCTGGTCCTGTGTCACCCTGGGCTGGGTCCCTGGAATAGGCTGCCCCATGCCTGTCGCTTTGCAGACCTCTTGCCCCAGCCCCATTCACTGTTGCTGTTGGTTGGAGGGAACTCCGTGTGGAAACTAAAAGATACACTGGCAGCCTCTGGCTGGAGTTGTATGCAGACCGCAGGCCTCCTCCGTAAAGGGCCCTGTTCTAAAGGACCATCCTCTCCCTGGGTCCCCAGGCCTCTGGGCCTGGATGCAGGATATCAGGCCTGGAAGTCACCTCAGAGACCAGGGCCTGTAACGGCCCCATAACGCCTTGGTGATTGGGCTCCTTCCAAAGTAAAGCTTTCTTTGGGCTGAGGGGAGGGGGCGATTCTCTGACTCAGTGGTCAGCACAGCCCGGCTGCAGAGGCTCCAGGGGCCTGCCCCCTGCCCCCACCCCCAGGGCTGCACAGACTCTGCAGTTCTTCCATTTCTGAGGCTGGTTTCAGCGGATGCCCTAATTGTGGGCAGAGGGTAGGTGTGTGCTCAGATCATGTTCCCCCTGGGACGTCCTCAGGGACGGTGCCAGGTTTGGAGGTGGTAGGAACGTCATCTATCCCTGATCCTGTCCCTGGAGAAGCCCAGAGTGCCCTGCTTCTTCTTCCTGTTTGATAACAAGTTAGTCTGGGGGCTGGCTTCAGAGGCCGGGATCGGGGGTTGGGAGGGGCGCACAGCACTGGGTGGGGGGGGGTGGCCCGGGAGACCTGAGTCCTGGTTGTGCCTCCAGCCACTTCACTCTCCAGGCCTCAGCGTCTGCATCTGCAAAATGACTTTTCTGGCACTTGCTCCTCCCCCCTCCCCCGCCTAGCCTTCCTCTCAGGCCATTCTGAACACCAAGTGGGATAATGATGTCAGTCTCGGGAGGAATGCTAAGTGTGTCAGGCAAGGTGGGTGGGTGTGTCTTGGCATGCAGGGGCTGGGCGTAACTCACCCGCACGGGCCTGTTGCTAGGCCAGCAAGCCTGTTTCTGGATTCTGGGTGTGGGGAGGAGCCAGCATGAGCCCTGGAGCTGTCCCGAGATGCACGGCTGGGCTGGAGCTTGGGGTCCACGAAGAGCTCAGACTCCAGCGGTGCCTGGGGAGCCTAGAAGGGCCTGGGGGCCTGGGTAGCAGGTCATAGAAAAGAAGCAGCTAGAGGGGATACCAGTGAAGGATGGGCATCCTGGCTCTAGGAGGGAGGATTCTGTGATGGCTGTGTTTTGGGGTCCATTTCTGGGAAGATTCTCAGAACGAGGCCCCGGTTAAAGGTTCCTTGAGGACTCTCACAGCTTCTCCAAGATGCTGGGAAGAGGGTGGGCCTGGGAAGGCAGAAGCCCTGGAGAATTGCCCTTTGCCTGCTTGGCTGTCCTTTTGGGGTTGTCCCCATAGGCCCTGGGGAAGGGGGCTCCCTGGAGGTTGGGTGGGGTCCGCACTGCACCCCTGTGGATCCAGACTCAGTCCCTGTCCCCTTGCCCCTTCCAGAGCCCCGGAGCTATGTGGAGTCGGTGGTGCGGACGGCAGTGGCTGGGCCCCGGACTCAGGATCCTGAGCCCAAGAGCTTTAGCGCCCCGGTTGCCCAGGCCTATGGCCGCGAGACACCCCTGAGGAACGGGACCCTGGGAGGCTCCTTTGTCTCCCCCAGCCCCCTTTCCACCAGCAGCCCCATCCTCAGCGCTGACAGGTAAGTGGGGAGGAAGATCCAGGCCTGGGACAGCACAGATGAGGCCTCTTGGATCTGTCTAGGGCGTGGACAGGCAGAAATCACATCCAGGTTGCTGCTCCTGGGAAACTAGCTCATCGGGGTGCATGGTGAGAGCATCCCCTGAGTGCCAACTCCCCAGGGAGAGTATGAAGGTGAACCAGGCATAGTCCTTACCCCAGGTTTATTTATTTATTTTTTAAAGTTTTTAAAAAATAAATTTATTTATTTCATTTATTTATTTTTGGCTGTGTTGGGGTCTTCGTTGCTGCGCGCAGGCTTTCTCTAGTTGCGGTGAGCAGGGGCTACTCTTTGTTGCGGTGCGTGGGCTTCTCATTTTGGTGCCTTCTCTTGTGGCTGAGCACGGGCCCTAGGCACGTGGGCTTCGGTAGTTTTGGCTCACGGGCTCTAGAGCGCAGGCTCAGTAGTTGTGGCTCACGGACTCTAGAGCGCAGGCTCAGTAGTTGTGGTGCAAGGGCTTAGTTGCTCCGTGACATGTGGGGTCTTCCCGGACCAGGGCTCGAACCCGTGTCCCCTGTGTTGGCAAGCGGACTCTTAACCACTGCGCCACCAGGGAAGCACTTTTTTTTAATTTAAAAAAAAATTTTATTTTTTGGCCACACCACGTGGCATGCGGGATCTTACTTCCCAACCAGGGATGGACCCCGTGCCCCATGCAGTGGAAATGTGGAGTCTTAACCACTGGACTGCCAGGGAAGTCCCCTTCCCCCAAGTTTAAAATTGAACACGAATAATTACTATGTGGTGAGTGCTTCCTATGTGCCAGGCATTTTGCTAAGTGCTTTCTGTTTAAACCTCACAGCAATCCTATGAGGTAGGTACTATTATTATTCACACTTCTCAGAAGAGGAAACTGAGGCAGAGAGACATAAAGTAGCTTATTCAAGGCCCTACAGCTACATAATAGCAAAAATAGGATTCAAACCGAAGGTGTCTGGCTCCGGAACCCACATCTCTATCCTTCCCCACAGACCTGCGTTATGGTGCCTGACGGTCACGGGGTGAGAGTCAGATGTGCCCAGAGCAGATGTTTGAGCCGCGAGCTCAGAGCGAGAGGCCGCTATTTCTGCCTTGGGATGCAGAGAGGGTCTCTGGGGGCTGAAAGTATTTGTGCTGAGGCCAGAAGGATGAGCAGGGGTTGAAAGGTGAAGGGGGAGGGAACGGCCCTTCCAGAAGGACAGCACGGCAAGGACAGAGCCGGCGGGTGTGGAGGTGTTGGGCGTGGCGGCCTCGGGGCAGCTGCTGGTGAGGGGTTGCTGTAGGGTGAGAGGAGGGATGTCTTGGCGGATGGCTGGCTGGCGTTCTGAGGCGGGTCAGACAGAAAGGGTAGCCTGAAATTTCCCAGAGAGTGAGGCTCCTGTGTTTGGGGTGCAGCGAGAAGCTGCTTGACTGGGGGTGGTGGTGAGGCTTTATGATGGGGAGACAGGGAAGACGACATAGGAGAGGGACCCTGAGAGGAGCCTAGGCAGGGCAAAGGGTGCCAGGCGGGGAGGGGGCCCCAGAGAGCCTGCCTGGAGGCCGGAACTCGCCTCCAAGAGGGGAGCCTGCCCCTACCATCCCTTCCCATGTCCACTGCCCTTCCCAGCCCGGGACCCCACGGGGCCCGGTAACTGTCCAGCCACCTCTTCACAATTCTGCATGTGGAGGGGTGTGCCAAGCTTGCGGTGTACCTGCAGTGGTCCAGGGTAATGCACCCCTCCTGGGTCGGGGCGGGGGCCGTGGGTGAGCAGAGGCACTTTTCTTCTGGAGCCTAAGAATTTGAAACCTCAAGCCAAGCACACATACCCCAGTCCACCTTACCCCTCCCCAGCCTCCTGATGGTTCCATTTTTGGAAAGGTCTGCCTCTGGGCAGAAGCTGCATTCTTCTTTTAGAGGAAAGGAGATTTTCCTCACCTCTCCAGCCACCCTGGCTGATATTCAGGGAGTGCTGACATTAGGAAGTTTTCACCGTTTCTCACTCCTCAAATTCCTCCTGCTGTAGGCCTCAGGAAGCCAGCTTCTCCTCCAGAACTCCATTTCCATGTCCCCAGCCCCCACTGTGCAGCCTGACCTATCCCCCCATTCCTCAGAATCCAGGTTATTCTGTACCGAAGTGGTGTTCCACTTTGGCCCCTTCTGGGATGCGAGGTAGACTTTGTCCTGGCCTGGCCCCTGCCCTTCTCCCTGCCCTTGGCTCGTGCCTAGCCCTCCCACCTCATATCACCCAGGGGACCTGAGCTTATCCAACCTGGCCCAGGGTGTGGCCGGCCAGCCTCCAGACTCCTTCCAGTCTGCGGCTCCAGGCTTTGGAGCATCGTCTTGTGTAAGGACCTTCCCCACCCCCCTGCCCCAGGGGCTGCTGGTGCAGAATCTGCCTGCTACCTCCCTGCAGCTGCTGCATATGCGTGGTCTCTGTCAACCTTTGTCTCTCCTGCCATATCATCGAGGAAGAGAAGTTTGGGTCTGGAAGGAATCAGAGTCATCTAACCTATTTCCCTCATTTTACACGTGGGAAAACTTTTAACAAGCAGAATCCAGGTTTCCCAACTCACAGGCCATGGACTTGTATCAATACTTAACTTCAGAGGGGAACCTTTGACTGTGGCCATTCCCCCAGGTACAGTGCCCTCTGAACTGAATTTTATCAGTCTTAGACTTGAGAACGACCTCTGAGCTCATCTCATCTAACCTCCCAATGGAGGAAATTTCCTTCACAGCATTTGGGTCAAGAGGTTGGTCAGTCTCTGCTTAAATGCTCCTAATGATGGGAGCCTCATTACTATGTAAAGCAGCCTGCTCCATTGGTGGCCAGATCCAATGGCTAGAATGCAGATCTTATAATGAGCTGAAATCTCCTGTGAGATTTCTTCATCTTTGCTGTTTTGGAGCTACCCAGGAATGGATGCCCAGTTACACTCTCAGTGTTTAAAGATGCTGATAGCACACCTGGGGAAACTGAGTCAAGGTAGGATACTTCCAGTAGGAACAGGATCCAAGTGGTTTAACCCCCTCTCCAGTGTTCAGTTTCTGTGATGCTGGAGGGGGCAACAGGACAGCCACCTTCAGTTTCGATAGGAGAGATCTCGCTCTGACCTGTGGTTGAGCAGTCAGGGTGGTGCTTGAGGATACATGGGCTTTGGAGTTAGACACAGCTGAGTTGAGATCCTGGTCTATTATGAGCTGTGTGGGTGTGAGCCTATTGCTTAACCTCTCTGAGCCTCAGTTTTGTCTTCTGATGTCCGTAGGGTGACGTATCAAAGCCGTAACTTTCCTGTGCATGTGAGGGGAGCTTTTATTGTCATTATTAGTGGTTGGAGGGAGGGCTGAGGGTTCACTGAAAGCCTGTCCTTCACTAAATGCCATTTGGTGACATCTTGACCTGCCCCGTCTCTCTCTAGCACTTCAGTGGGGAGTTTCCCATCAGGGGAGAGCAGCGACCAGGGCCCGCGGACACCCACCCAGCCTCTGCTGGATTCTGGCTTCCGCTCCGGCAGCCTGGGCCAGCCCAGCCCTTCGGCTCAGAGAAGCTACCAGAGCTCTTCTCCTCTCCCGACTGCGGGCAGCATCTACAGCAGCCCCGACTACTCACTTCAGCCGTTCAGCTCCCTGGAAAGCCAGACCCGGTCTCAGTTCAGTGTGGCGGGTGTCCACGTGGCGCCTGGGAGCCCTCAGGCTCGGCACAGGACAGTGGGCACCAACACTCCCTCCAGTCCTGGCTTTGTCCGCCGGGCCGTGAATCCCGCCATGGCTGCCCCCAGCAGCCCCAGTTTGAGCCACCGCCAGGTGATGGGTCCGCCCGGAACTGGTTTCCATGGTAAAACGGTCTCCAGCCCCCAGAGCAGTGCAGCAACCACTCCGGGAAGCCCCAGCCTGGGTCGGCACCCTGGGGCCCACCAGGTTTCAAGCCTCCATGGCAATGTGGCCACCACTCCAGGGAGCCCCAGCCTGGGCCGGCACCCTGGGGCCCACCAAGGCAACCTGGCCTCCAGTCTCCATGGCAACGCAGTAGCCAGCCCCGGAAGCCCCAGCCTGGGCCGTCACTTGGGAGGGTCTGGATCTGTGGTTTCCGGCAGCCCCAGCTTGGACCAGCAGGTGGCCTATGGTGGCTACTCCACCCCTGAGGACCGGAGACCCACGTTGTCCCGACAGAGCAGCGCCTCGGGCTACCAGGCCCCTTCCACGCCCTCCTTTCCTGTGTCCCCTGCCTACTACCCCGGCCTGAGCAACCCCGCCACCTCCCCCTCGCCAGATTCAGCAGCCTTCCGGCAAGGGAGCCCGACACCGGCCTTGCCAGAGAAGCGGAGGATGTCCATGGGAGACCGAGCGGGCAGCCTCCCCAACTATGCCACCGTCAACGGGAAGGTGTCCTCCTCGCCTGTCACCAGCGGCATGTCCAGTCCCAGCGGGGGCAGCGCCGTCTCCTTCTCCCACACTCTGCCCGACTTCTCCAAGTACTCCATGCCAGGTGCGCCCTCCTTCCATGTCATCTCTCCCGCTGACAGATGAAGCCCAGCAGTTAGGGTACCTGTGCTAGTCTCTGTTCTGACATCTCCTTGGCAGACTGAAGCCCAGCAGTTAGGGTATCTGTGCTAGTCTCTGTTCTGACATCTCCTTGGCAGACACAACCTCGGGTGGATCACCAACTTCTGGGCCTCAGACGCCTTACCTGTGTAATGGGAGTTGGAGCTGTGGTCGTGGCAGCAGTGGGGGCAGGGATGAGGAGGTAGATGTGATGATGGCACTGCTGTTACAATGATCTTCACCATCATCGTAGCCACCACCACTTGTTGAGCACATGCTCTGTGCCAGGCTCTGAGCCAAGGACTATCTCATCAGTCCTCGCGGCCACCTGGCAAAGTGGGTATGATTTTGCCCATTTTGCACATTTAACACATGGCCACCTGGCAAAGTGGGTATTATTTTGCCCAATTTGCACATTACTTTTCCAGCCCACAGCACGGTTCCCACCTTTTGATCCCCACTTTGCGCACATCACTAATAATAGATCTGGCAGCCGGAGCGATATGGCACAAGGCCGAGGGTTAAGCATTTTTACTGGAGTCTAGTTTCTACCAACCCGGCTTCACTGAAGCCCACGCAGTTTTGCACACTGAATTCTTCTCTCATCGTCAGAACTGGGCATCTTTTGCCTCCACTTAGAGGGCTCATTTTCTAAACAAAAAGGTCAGGGTGTCAGCTGATCTGCAGCTTCTCAGCCAGATCTCCAACCTGACTATGTACAGAGCAGCCCTGGAGCCCTGGGGCATTCAAGGAAGATTTAGAATGCTGCAGGCAGCCTGGGATGGGCCCCAGCTGCCCAGATTCTCAGTATCACTCCCAGGTCCTGCCCTGAGCCTGCCAAACGACACTGCACACCCCTGCTTCCTGCTGCTCGCCAGAGACATCTGGTTCCCAGCCCGAGTTCTTGGAGGATGGAGAACTTCTAGTAGTTGGGACATTTCCTGTTTCCCACCATCTTCCTTGCTTAAAATAGCCATGGGAGTCAACACAGGAAGGCACATGGGGCTGTAGCCACCTCTGACAGCTCGTTAGACAGGCCCCAGCAGCCCCAGGGCCTGGGGCTTTGGAGCCGAGAGAGGCAGCTTGCACATTTGTACAGCCCAGCTGCCTAGCCCAGAGGCCCTGCTAAGTGCACAGCTGCCAGGAAAAGGAGCTGACCTACCCCATCTCTGTCCTCCAGAAACAGATCCCAGAAGCCTAGCAGAGTGTAAATGACAAGTTGAAATTGACTAAGCACCAGGCACACAGCCTAACACACATCTCTGGTCTGTGCCCTGAACTTTACAGCACCGTGAGCACAGGCTCCTCTGTTCCAGCCTCTCACTGATGAAAGGAGTGGAAACATGCAGATTTGGAATATTCTTTTTCACCCTTCTCCCCCATCCTCCCTTTGTTTTCTTTGGTGCCAAAGGATGAAGGAAGAGGTTGGAGAGTGAGACCCACATGTCCTAATACCCAGCCAGGAAGATATGGTGTAGCTGGCACCAAACTGGTTGCTGCATCTTCTTACCTGGGAAGGTCTTACAAAAGCCTTTCTGTGGACCATCTGTGTGACTTGGGCAAGTTGCTCTCCCTCTCTGAACCTCACATTCCTCACTTGTAAAGTAATAGGTTGGATAAGGTGCTCTCTGAGCTCCTCCAGAACCTAACATTCTATGAAAGCATCCCTAGTCTGCAGAGGGTCTGGGGTGGGGATGTCTGCCAGAGAAGTGGGGTCTGTGACACTCAGTAGATGGCCTCTTAATTCTAGGCCAACCCTTCTCCTATTTGTCCCAGGCAGGGCAGGAGCAATCTTTTTGCTCTACCTGAGGCAGAACCCGGGCTTTCCATGTGGGAAGTGAGGCGGAGCTTGGGGAAAGTGGACAGAAATGTGTTTTTCTGCTCTCATCCTCAAGGTTGTTATGATAGAGTTGGGAAATTGAGCCCATGGAGAAAGGGACTAGCAGGTGGGAGGGAAACTTCGGGAAGGGTTTAGTCTGAATCTTCTAGAGAAAGGGGGAGATGGGATGGAGTAGGGCTCTCGCTGGCTTGGTGAGAATGCTGTTCAGTGTCTTCAACAGGAGGGCAGCTCCGTGAGCCACGGTGGTTGTTGGAAGACGGGGAGGATGTGAAAGCAGGTCAAGGCCCCTCCCAGCAATGCTCTGATGATGTCTGAGCAGACTAGCTTTCTGTGTTAGTTTCCTAGGTCAGCCATAACAAAGGACCACACACTTGGCTTAAGACAACAGAAATTTATTCTCTCACAGTAGCTGAGGCTGGAAATCCCAAATCAAGGTATTGGCAGGATTGGTTCCTTCTGGAGACTCTGAGGGAGACTGTGTTCTAATCTTAGCTTCTCATGGTGGCTGGCAGTCTTGGGGTCCCTTGGCTTGTAGGTGCATCTCCCTAATCTCTGCCTCCATCTTCACATGACACTCTCCCCTTGTGTCTCCCTGTCCCTTTCCTTCTTTTTATAAGGACACCAGTCATATTGGATTGGGGTCCACTCTAATCCAGCACGACTGCATCTTATCTTGTTTACATCTGCAAAGACCCTATTTCCAAATAAGGTCACATTCACAGGTACTGGGGGTTAATTCCAACATACCTTTTTGGGGGACAGAGATGGAGACTCATAACACCTTCTTTCCCTCTCCTTCTCCTTCAGACAACAGCCCTGAGACGCGGGCGAAAGTGAAATTTGTCCAGGACACTTCCAAGTATTGGTACAAGCCCGAGATCTCCAGAGAGCAGGGTAAGTGCTGGGTGGTGCTGAAGGTCCTGGGGTCCATCTGAGGTCACAGCTGGCGGCTGCCCACCTTGTCTGCCCTGGGCAAGGGACATAAGCAGACTCTTTCCTCTTTGCAGTAGGTGGTGGTCACAGAGAGGAGCTGGGACCAAGGTTGGACAGTAAGAGGCACCTCCCCACAGTGAAGCGTTGGGCAGCAGAAGCAGTGGTTGCAGCTGTTTCCTTAAAAGCAGCAAAGTCTTGGTTTTCCAGGACAAAATGAAAGGCTGGCCGAGATACTATGAAACCTTAGCTCTCCGTCTGCATGATGTGGGAGATTTTTGCCCATTTTACAGAAAAAAACATAGTTGGGATTGTGGGGATGGAGATGAGAGGCCTCAGCCCCTAACGGAAGTCTGTGTGGACGTAGGGCAGGGTGACTTCCAGCCAGGGGTCAGACCCGGACAGTTTTCTTAGAACGACCCCATCTATTCGTTTACTCACTGTATGGGCTGCTTTTGTGCCGTGACGGCAGTGATGAGCAGTTGTAGCCAGAACTGCGTGGCCTGCAAAGTCTGAAATATTTACTGTCTGGCTATTTATAGAACAACTTTGCTGACTCTAGTGTAGGAGGACCCTTAGGAGTGTTTACATTTTAACTTTAAGGACTCTCATCTCACCTGAGAAAGAAAGAGGTTCAAGACCTGATGAGACTTAAGCCAGTGCATCAGTTTCTCATTTCCCCTTCTCTCCTCCCGATTCAGCCATAGCCCTCCTTAAGGATCAGGAGCCAGGGGCTTTCATCATCCGAGACAGCCACTCCTTCCGAGGAGCCTATGGGCTGGCCATGAAGGTGTCTTCGCCCCCTCCGACCATCATGCAGCAGAATAAAAAAGGTAACACCAGCTTGTCCACTGGGGCCTCAGGACTAGGTGGTCCCTACAGCCTCTTTAGGTCCTGAGCTGCCAGAGGACGAGGGGTGGGTATGTGGGGTGGGCAGGTCTCTTAATTCTCATGGGAGCTGGTCCCTTCTAAACAGAAGCTTCAGAAGAGCAGGTCTTGGGCTTGGTGATTATTGAGGTCCGAGAACAGGGAAGCAAGATGACTGGGACCCTGTGACTGAGTTTCCTTGAGGGGTGGGCTAGCAGTGGTGGCCTCTCCATCCCAGGGCTCTGGCCGTGTTATCGCTGTGACCCTTTCTCCATCACAGCCCAGCACACTGGAGAAGTTGGAAGTAGTGCTGGGAGGTGGCGGAAGGACACCGTGGGCAGTGACGCATCCACGTTTCTTTCTCTTCGTCCCAGGGGACATGACCCACGAGCTCGTGAGGCATTTCCTGATAGAGACGAGCCCCAGAGGAGTCAAGCTCAAGGGCTGCCCCAACGAGCCAAACTTCGGTGAGCTGTCCCCGCCTCCGTCCCCACGGTCTCAGGCCTGTCCCAGGTTCCCCGCTGCAGCTTCTGCCCGTCACCCTTGTCATAGACGCAGCAGAGAAATGCACGGCGACTCCCTTCCTCTGTGCTGTGGCGCCTTCACTCTGCCAGATTTCTTTCTGTATTTGTCCTACCCCGCGGAGACTTGTTATCATTATCACTGGAATAACAACTATAACAACAGTTGCCTTTATCCACTACCTACTATGTGGAAGCCACCTTAGGTACCTTATATCACTTCTGGTCTCCCGACCATCCTGCGTGGTAGGTGTCATCGTACCATTTTACACACGAGGGAACTGAGATTTATCCAGGGACACACAGCTAATAAGCTACTGAGTGGGGATTTGATCCCATCATCCTCTGACACTTGTGCCGCACTCTCCTGAGTGGAGCCCTGGCAGCTGGAGGGACTTAGGAGAGATGCTGGGAGTAACTTTCGATAAAGAAAAGTTGTGGGGGGCTTCCCTGGTGGCGCAGTGGTTGAGAGTCCGCCTGCCGATGCAGGGGACGCGAGTTCGTGCCCAGGTCCGGGAAGATCCCTTGTGCCGCGGAGCGGCTGGGCCCGTGAGCCATGGCCGCTGAGCCTGCGCGTCCAGAGCCTGTGCTCTGCAACGGGAGAGGCCACAGCAGTGAGAGGCCCGCTTAGCGCAAAAAGAAAAAAAAAAAGGAAAAGTTGTGGGGCAACTGTCTGACGGCTAGAGTGAGCCTTTAGAATCTTCTCCCTTGGATCTTGCTGTCAAAGAGGGAGTGAATTTTCAGCTTTGTGGGTGGGATGAGGGAGAGGTAAGAAAGAAGCTAAAGATTATGGACAGTGGGGTGGAGTGGGTGTGCTTCCTCAGTGCCCCTGACGTGCTCCCAGTAACGCTGCCTCTGCCGGCTGTCTCCCTCCCTGCAGGATCTCTGTCTGCCCTGGTCTACCAGCACTCCATCATCCCGCTGGCTCTGCCCTGTAAGCTGGTCATTCCAAACCGAGGTAGGAACCTGAGACTCCTCGCCCTTCAAGCGCACCCTTGTGCTGGCCTCCTTCACGTCTCTGCCCAGCCAGCCGCTCCAGAACATGCGCCAGGCTTGGAGGAAACGGGTCATGTTGCCAATCTTGGGAAACTCAAAACCACTCTCCTCTTTATTTTTTCTAATAAAAAAGAAGGGAAAGTTCATCAAAAATCTTAATTCCAGAAACACACATAATTGACTTGCCAGATTGTTCCAGAGAAAATTCTCTGGAGGCTTTAAGAATTCATACTTGAATCCTGAGAATTACGACTCATCCCAGGGGAGGAAATAGAAGCAGGAGACAGCCATGGGGAGGACCGTGTCCGGAGGGTGAGATGGGCATCAGTGGGAAGGGCCGAGGGAGGGGGGAGGGAAAGGCAGAGGTAGGTCATGGGGCCTCCAGGTGTGGGAGGGCGGTCTGAATGGAGAGTAGAGAGCACACTCGAGGGACCTCTTAGGGATCCACATGGCGTGGGAGGGAGACAGGAAGCCCAAGATGTCCCTGGAGTTTCTAGTCTGCATGGCTGAGAGGGTGTTCTCTCGCCGAGGGGACATTGAGCTAATGGGAGGAGCAAGCCCTCTTTTGATTGTGGGAAGTACAAATGGAATTCAAGAGCTTTAGGACGTATAGGGCGAGAATTTGAGTGAGACACTGCGGCTGGCAAAAGAGATTTTAGCTCCTCTTAGAGAGGTGTCCCAGCCTCGGAGGAAGGCGGATGGACACCCCAAACCTTTCAACAGCACAGGCTTCCATTATGTAGCCCCAGATACACGGGGCTCCCGCGAGGGGAGGGGAATATGCCTGGCCCTGAACTTGAGGTCTAGGAACCGGTAACTGGGGTGCCTTCTCCCCATGCTCTCTGTCCACTAATAGGATATTCGGAATTGTGTCCGGGACTTGCTTTCAGTCTCTCTTGGAGGTCCTGGGGTTATGTCCATAATTAAAACCTCCGATATCATTTGGCAATATGTATGTATCCAATTCGATTCATTGAATTATTAATGATAATTGACCACTATTATCAACTTTAAAGTTCAAATACTATTTAAATAGCCCTATTAACCACATGATTTAGACACTAATTAAGTTATATTTCTAAGGAATTTAGCAAAGTAACTTAATAATTGTAAAACTGCTCTCTATTTACATTGTATAAACCAGTGGTTCTCACAGTACGGTCCCCTGACCAGCAGCATCAGCGCTGCTGGGAACTTGTTCAAAATGGAGATGTTCTCAAGCCCCCCAATCGGAAGCTTTAGGGTGGTGCCCAGAAGTCTGTGATTTAACAAGCCTGCACACCAGCGTCTGAGAAATGCTGGTATAAACAATACTCAGTTCTTATTAATACTGAAATTGTAGTTGTGCTGCATTGTGGTTTAATGAATTAGGGCATTTACTGATCTACGCATAAGATACGTCCATGCAAAACAGCCATACCGTTTGCCACTTGAAGGCTTTATGTCAGCCGCTAGACTAACACTGTACACGGAACATCTCAAGAACCCAGGGGAGTGGGCGCTCTCATCCCCACCTCCGTTTTATACACGCTTGGCAAGTGACTGGGTGAGCACCTGAACCCTGCTCTGTTGGACTCCACACCTCCCAACCAGTGTGCTGAATACTTAGAGCAATCACTGGACATTCAAACCGGACACACGTGCTGACTGCCAGGGCTTATGATGAGAAGCGGTATCCGTTGCACAAAGTATTTGCAGAGCTAGCCTGAGGCCCAGCCAACCTTGTGCTTCTTTCCAGCTCTGCAGTTTTAATTACCAGCTGAATTAAATTTTTGTCTCAGACCCCACAGATGAATCAAAAGATAGCTCGGGCCCTGCCAACTCAACCACTGACCTGCTGAAGCAAGGGGCAGGTGAGTGGCCACCCCAGACGGGATCCCTGCCCAGGCCTTTCCTCCCCCTGGCCCTGTACCCTCCTGCAGGCGCAGGCTGGATATCTCTCCCAGACCCAGATGTCTCTGGGCAGACCACATTTCTGTGTGCAGATGCCTCGGCCCAAGGCTGGCCTGAAATTCATCTGCTCTCTTCTTCCCGAAGAGAGGACCTGGGGATGGTTCCCACCCACTTCGGCCCCCATGACACCTCCTTGGGTGGGTTTCTTCCAGCCTGCAACGTGCTTTTCGTAAACTCTGTGGACATGGAGTCACTCACTGGGCCACAGGCCATCTCCAAAGCCACTTCTGAGACACTGGCTACTGACCCCACGCCGGCTGCCACCATCGTCCACTTCAAAGTTTCTGCCCAGGGAATCACACTGACTGACAACCAGAGAAAGTAAGATTCTTTTTTTTTTTTTGAAAGATGGTGTTTTTTTGTTTGTTTTTGTTTTTTATTAATTAATTTTTGGCTGCTTTGGGTCTTTGTTGCTGAGCGCGGGCTTTTCTTTCTAGTTGCAGTGAGCGGGGGCTACTCTTCGTTGCGGTGCGTGGGATTCTCTTGTTGCCGAGCACAGGTTCTAGGCGCGCAGGCTTCAGTAGTTGTGGCTCGCGGGCTCAGTAGCTGTGGCTCGCGGGCTCTAGAGCGCAGGCTCAGTAGTTGTGGTGCACGGGCTTAGTTGATCCGCGACATGTGGGATCTTCCCGGACCAGGGATTGAACCCATGTCCCCTGCATTGGCAGGCGGATTCTTAACCACTGCGCCACCAGGGAAGCCCAGTAAGATTCTTCTAATTGCTTCTGTGTTGGGCTCCCCCCAACCCTGTGACCCATCCATCCATCCACTTTCTCACCCACTCACCAATTGATCCATCCATTCCTGCATCCATTCATCCCCCATTTATCTTCGCCCACCCATTTATCCCTTCACTAATTTGTCTCCCTCTATCCATCATCCATCCATCCATCCATCCTTCCTTCCTTCCACAAATATGCCTGCACTTGTTATACAGCTGTAAATGCAACTGATAAAAGTCCCTGCTTTCTAGAGCAGAGGCCCTTCCTCTCACGCTCTCTCCCCAGCCCCTTTTCTTCCTACTCCAGAGTTACCCCGTTTCTCATTCCTCAATGCCAGTGTCTTCCTTCCTTTCCTAGCATCTAGCATTTGAGACATGTTTCTATGAGACATCTCTCTGTCCCTATGCATGGCTTTATGTCCCCAAAGGCAGCAGCCCAGGCCATCATGCTCAGAAGGGAAAGGCTGTGTCGACCTGTGACAGCCACAGGTGGTGGCCTGACCTGAAGGAGGAGTCACTTCAGCACTCATTCTCTGTTTATCTGATATGTGTGCCACAGGCTCTTCTTCAGACGCCACTACCCCCTCAACACCATCACCTTCTGTGACCTGGATCCACAGGAGAGGAAGTAAGTCTCTTGTAGACACTTGCCTTCCCAGCCATCTTTCAAACACTGAAGTCTGTGTGTATGCATGTACGTGTGTGTGTATGCACTCCTGTGTGTGTGTATGCACTCCTGTGTGTGTGTGTGTGTGTGTGTGTGTGTATGTGTGTGTGTGTGTGCATTCTTGGCTCAATTTGAAGATCTGCCCATGCCTGTGGGACCGTGAGTAGCTGTGTTGGCATCTTTTTGAGTTTTTCCCACCACCAGTTTGAAGCCTCTCCCAGGGACCCAAACGCCTGCTTCTACCCCTCTGACCCTGAAGCTGCTTCTCTCCACGTTGGGGAAAGCTCCTTGGGAGGCAGGCCGCAGTGCTCTCTCCGCTGTGAATGCCCTGATGCATGGTCTTTGGAGGCTCCCGCCCCCCTGGCACAGGGGCTCTGCTGTCCCCAGGGGTCCAGGCACACCCGGGCTGGGCTCTGAGGGAGAAGTGATGGTTTACGCTGTGCCGTCACTCTCTCCACAGGTGGACGAAGACGGAGGGAGGTTCCCCTGCTAAGTAAGTACACTTCTCCCCACCCGGCTGGCTGGTCTTTGTGCTCCTTGGATGGGGCAGAGGTGGGTGCGGGAGTGGGTTTAGGATCCAGGAACAGGACGTAGGCAAAGGGCAGCTCTGGAGAAAAGCTTGCCCAGGCAGCCAGGTCTTTGGCCTTCTCCTGCCTCGAGGCCAAAGGCCCAGCCTCCAGTCTTGTCCCCTTCCCTCTCTCAGGACCAGACCAGCAGGGGTCTGAGGAAGGGATCTGAAAGCTGAGAGTTTTATTGGAGGTGACGGCAGTGGGGCAGGGGTTGTTTAAATGATCTTTTCTGCCACAACCCTGGCATCCTTGACTCCCATTCCTGCTCTCTTGGCGGACTTCTGTGCATGACGTGGCTGGGCTAGACCTCCACGTCAGACCGCGGGAGTCCGGTAGGTCTGAATTCCTTCCGAAATTCCACTGATGGCCCTGGGGTCCTTTGGTCAATTTTCCATCTATTTGGCATTTCGTAAGTGCTTCCAGGGAACTAACTCAGCCCTGGGAAAATTCAGACCAACCAGAGGGCTGATTCTGCCCTCGGGTGCCTGACGGTAGCACAGTAGATAAGAGAAGTGTATAAACAGGCTAAGGTGCTGCAGTGGTTTTCAAGCTGTGTTCCAAGGAATGCTAGGTTCCTCAGGTTGTAACTGAGCCCCTATGAGGGGAGGTACGATTTGCAGTTATTTATCAGGATGAATCGGAGTTTCCTCAGTAAAACCAAAACAAAGTATAGGAATAACCTGGGTACTGAAGCTGACGTAAGACTGTCACTACGGTCTATAATTCCACCTTTTACTTTGTTGGGCTCACCCAAACAGCCCCATTTTTTTCTCACTGATTGACTTTATCATAGATAAACGTTACGCTGTTGAATTGATCCATTTATTGCCATAAGTACTGCTGTCACCTTTACATATCCAGACTTCATATAAGATTGGCTTTAGAAAAAGATAACTTTCACTGTTAAAAAGAAATCAAAACCACTGCTGATTTGGGAAGGTTTGGGGAAAGAACCTATGTTTAAAAATAGGTCTTAGGGCTTCCCTAGTGGCGCAGTGGTTGAGAGTCCGCCTGCCGATGCAGGGGACACGGGTTCGTGCCCCGGTCAGGGAAGATCCCACATGCCGCGAAGCGGCTGGGCCCGTGAGCCATGGCTGCTGAGCCTGCGCGTCCGGAGCCTATGCTCCGCAATGGGAGAGGCCACAGCAGCGAGAGGCCCTCGTACCGCAAAAAAAAAAAAAAAAAAAAATAGGTCTTATACGACAGGTAGAAATGGGTGTGGGAGCAGGAGAGAGCTGATTTCATGGGGATGGGGCTGGAGAGGCCACCAGATTGCAAGCTCCCTGAGGGCACGACTGTATCTGCCGTGTGGGAGGGGCTGATAGATATTTAGTAAGGAAATGAAAGGATGGAGGCAGGGAGGAGGAGAGCGAGGAGGAGGCCCAGTGAGGCCACTGTGGTCCAGATGCGTGGAACTGACCAGGGTCAGCGCGATGAAAGCTCCTTCTGGGGGTGTCCGTGTAACCGAAAGTGGGGTCTGGCTGCTCCCCTTTCAAAAGCCAATACAGAGGCCAGGTTGGTGGAAAGGAAAGTTTGCTTCATTTTGGATGCCGGCAATCACGGGGGAGGGTGGATGCGGCCCCCACCCCACCCCCACTGACAACCAGGGGGCAAGAGCTTTTATAGACGGGGGGAGGGGGCTACATGCCCCCTTAACTGGCCATGATGTAGTTAATTTCTTCCACCTGGTGGGAGTTTCAGTATCTACAAGACAGCTCACAGGATATGTCTCAGAATATTATCTATAGGCCTTGAGAAGGAACTAAAGGTCCTTAACTATGCTTAGTGACTAAACTACTATTATTTAGTCTTGTCGGACTGGTTTCCTTTGTTTCTGCATTTTCTCTGATTAAACTTATTCTCTGGCTAAAGTTTTTCCACAGAAAAAAGGCAGGCAGAAGACATGGGGGGCAAGGACCATAGGGTCCTGCTCTGTTTCATCAGAGGGGCCATGTGGGATGGAGGAGACCTCTCCTGGGTCAAGGTCACATAAAGAGTTAGCAGCTCAGCTGAAGAGAGGTCCCCGTGTGCAGTCCTCTCAAAGCTTATCTCAGCCTTCCCTGGGGCTCATGGGGTCACTGGGCTCTCCAAGTCCCTGCCGCCAGCCAGGAGGCCAGAGCTCTGCGTTTGAAGGGTCTTGTCTTACTCACCACCCGGCCCTCCAAGGGGGAGATGCATCCGGGACAGAAGCGGGCTGGTCCCAGGCCTGGAAGTTCCTCATTGAGGAGTAGCTTTTGTGCTGAGCTTCCTTCTGACTCGCCCTTGTGGGGGCCCAGGAGAGCTCAGGGCTGGACGAGGGTGAGGCACGCGAGATGCCTCAGGCCCCCAGTTTAAGGAGGTGCTCGCTCTTGGGTGCTTGTAAGCGCTGCTCTCTGCCCTTGGGGGCTGAGGTTTCTTGCCGCATCCATTCCTCCAAGCAGAGGAAGGACTTGGGCTACTGTTGAGTTGGCCCTGAGGCCCACAGAGCTGAAATAAACATGAAGGGAGGGCAGGTGGGCAGTGTTCAGGCCTGAGAGGTGGGCCGGTTCTCCATCCTGGCCTGGAGAGGGGGCTCCGGGGGGGTGATCCACGGGCCCAGGCTTCCCCACCACTTGGGTAGACTGTTACCCTAGGCCTCTGACCTGATTGTCCCCAGCCCCTGAAACACATCTGGGTACAGCAAAACTGTGGGGAGCCCTGTGTGTGTGTGTGTTGGGGGGGGTAAGCCAGTCCCAACTCTGCTAATTTTAGCTGCTGTGGTCCGTCCAGTCCTGGGAGAGGGGTTTCCATCGGAATCTCCAGCTGTCCCGATTTCCCCATCCAGCAATGTGCTGGCTGGGAGGGGACCTGAGCTCACATTCTGTTCTTCTGCGCTCGTATTTTTAACTCTGTTTTGCACAGAGAGAACGCTCAGTCACTCCAGTCCTGGTATGGGGAGTGGGGTTTGGGGGGGAACAGGTGTGGGGTCCCCCTCCCCCTCCCATTCTCTGGAGAAGTGTGTGTGCGTGTGTGTGTATAGTGGGGGACGGTGGCCCCTCATCCTTTGGTCTCTGACCTTCTGTGGTGTCTGAGGCAGCCGGGCCCTTTGACAGGCAGACGGCACTTTGCTTATGTGTTGTGTGTAAGAACGTTCGGCTAGGGGTGTGGCAGGGATGGGCTGAGAGAAGCTGGTCTAGGAATGTCCCATTTTATTTTTGGTCTCATCCCCCCACCCCTTACTGTCGGGTCTTGTCACTCACCTCCAGCACCTCTTCTCCCTGCTCCCCACCCACAAAGGGGAATTTCTACTGACCCTGAACAAGTGACGTGCTGTCTCCAGGCGTTGGTTTTCTTGTTGGTGAAGGAGAGAAAGGATTCTCTCGCATGCTCCACCCTCAGTGCCCAGTGCTCAGGGAGGTGGGGAAAGACGGGGAAGGGAGCAAAGATGAGCTTGCTTTTCTGGGCGCCTCCCCCAGGCCTGGGGTTCCTCCTGCCCCCCCACACACACCTGTCACCCATCTCCCGCCCCTGCAGGCTCTTCGGCTTTGTGGCCCGGAAACAGGGCAGCACCACGGACAACGCCTGCCACCTCTTTGCTGAGCTTGACCCCAACCAGCCGGCCTCCGCCATCGTCAACTTTGTCTCCAAGGTCATGCTGAGTGCTGGCCAGAAGAGATGAACTCCCCCCCCCCCTTGCCCAGGGCCGGGGCAGTGGGGATGGGTATGTGGGGAAGGGACCTGTGCATCCTGACCATCCTTGAATCCAGAAGGAGGACTTTGGGCCAATTTTGGAGAAGGAGAGAAGAAAGTGTCATGTGGGGAGAGGGAAGTGAATTGAGCGGGGAGGGGGAGAGAGAGAGAAAGAAGGAAAAAGATGGAGGAGAATAACTCGGATTCCCCTGGGGAGATGGATACTGCAAAACCCCCAGAGCCTCCAAAACTAACCAGGTCCACCTAACTCCCCCTCCACCCTCTGAGAGGATGGAACTCCTCAAGAGAGGCAGAATGAACCTCTCTGGAGATCCACATTTTGGGGGGAAATGGAAAAGCTCTTCCTTCCTAACCCAACTGTTTTGCAAGGAGAAATCCTGTCAAGAGAATCTTTTTCTGTCCACCTCTAGGGTAGATCACCAAACCAAAAAGAGCCACCATGGGACATCCAGTGGTGGAACTTTTGCTTTTGAAAGTATCTCAGACCTGAGGCCCCTAAGGTCTCTTTGCTCTGCCTCTGATGTACAGTTTGTGGGTGTCTTTATGGGGTGTATATATGGCCACACCCACATCCTCACACACTGATTTCTGTTTGCCTCTCAGCTTGAAGTAGAAACAGGTATACTTGTCCGTGTCCCCTGTGTTTGCACACACAAGTGCATACTGTCCAAAGAAAGTTAGAGTCGGGGGTGACAGGGCAGCAGGGAGGGGGCATAAGCCCCCTTCCCCAGGAACACCCAGGATTGTGGGTAATGGACGCTCTCTTGGTCCCTGCACCTGCTCTAACAGCCTTGGGTGCCGCCAACCCCTTCTCCTCAACGGAGACCCCCACGGAGTGGGTCTGGCCACGCTGCAACGTTACCCCTGATCTGCCTCCACCAGGAAGCTGGAGCAATGGTTTAGGAGATGGGGACTTGTGTGTCCGGAGCTCTGGGGAAGAGATTGCTCAGGAAGGGAGGCTGCTGAGCTCTAGGCACCTTCCCCGAGGCGTGTGGCCCAGCCTCGGGGTGGGCAGGTGGCTCCCGCCAGCTCCCAGCCCTCAGCCCCTTCTTGGGTTTCGTGCCCCAGACCAGCCTTTCTCAGACTTGCTTATGTGCATGTTGCCTTTTCGGGTGCTGGTGATTGAGCCTTCCCGCTCTGCCCTGCCCTGTTCTGTCCTGCAGGGTCCCCATGTGGGGGGCTTATCCTGGGAACCTGCTTCTATAAGCCCTGCTCGGCGAGGCCCAGGAGAGACCCCTGCAGTTCCTGTGCTCCCTCTGCAAGGGATCGGGGGTCTGACTTTTGCTGGACCGCCCAGGGGAGCTGGTCAGTTCTGGGGGAGGCTGCCTGCACACCACATCGCCTGCCTGCGATACCAAAGCCTTGCCCTTCCCCCTTCTGCCTTGGTTTCCCCCCAGAGCCCAGCTGCCGTGGAGCAGAGGGCAGAAGGCGCATATTTAGGCCGAAGGGCTGAGAGTCCAGCTGGGTGATTGGGCGCTCCCTGACCACCACCCAAGTGCTCTAAGCCAGACGGGAAATCCACCAGGACTCCATCCTTGAGTAGCTTCTTAAGCCTCTGGGTTTCCTAGAGAGAGGCATTGTACTGATATATAAATATATATAATATATATGTGAGACATACTGACAGAATCTGTAAGCTAATGAAATATAAGAAAAGGTTAAAAAAAAAAGAATAGGTAAATTGACAAGAAGTATTTATTATTTTCCCGTCTAGCTTTATTGCCTCCTTGGCATAATCCAGTCCCCATCCCTCTCTGTACCTATAAGTGAAGCCTGAAAGGTAGGGGCCTTTATCCTTGGAGCAATCAGGGGTCTCCTTGCCCTGGCCTTGGCCTTCCCTAGACTCTGACTGGGGCTCAGCGGGGAGGGGGTGCACGTGTTCCATCCCCTTCACCCCCCTTATTTTTGGCAAGCTGGGCCCGGCTGTCAGCTCCCAGAGATGAGGGCTTAGCAGCCCGCCTCCCTGCAGGCCCGAGCGGGTGTGTGAGCCTGCAGGGGACACGGGTGTGTGTGGTGGGCGTGGGTGACGTGTGCGTCTTGTAGTTTTTTTCTCTTCCAAGAAGTCGTATCTGTGTGGATGTTCTGTTTCAGGGAGTTGGAAAGGAGAGCGTCTGAAGATGGTGGGGAGTAGCCCCCTGCTTCCCAAAGATTGAAACCTTGTTCTTGGTGACCAAGACTCCCCCAAAGGGCTCTTCCTTCTGAGGCTTTCAAGCCAGACACCGCGGTTTCCCCTCTCTCATTCCCTACCTAAGCCCAACTCTCTTCCCAGACAGAAGAGGATATTCCCACCCACTTCCTTTGTAAATATCTTGATCTCCCACTGGACAGCCCGGGAACTCTCTCCTCCTGGTCTGGATGGCCGGGAGGAGCATCAGACCCTTCATGTGAGTCTGGGGTCAGCCTTCACACGTGCTTTCCCACAGCCCACCAGCAGCCCACCCCACTCAGGCCTGAGCCATGTGTGACTCTGGGAAGGGCTCGAGATGCTGGGGAGCTGATCGACTCCCCCGACCCAACATCCTCCTGGAAAGAGTCAGTTTCCGAGAGTGTGGCCTGTCCCGAAGAACGATGGGGAAGGGTACCCCAATCTCCACCATGGTCTCACCTTTGGGTCAGACACTGCTTGGGATAACCCTCCCGTGTCTCACAGGTTAGGCCCGTGCACCTTGCACACGTGCGCACATACACACACACAACCACAGCACTGCAGTATGTTCTTGCCAAAGATTTCCTTTAAAAGAAAGCACTTTTAATAATTATTGTTATTATTGTGTGAATGTTTATCCTTTTCTCTCCCCATCCCTCTCCCCAACCTTTTTTGCTGTTGTTATTTTGCTGTTGTTTATTGTCAGCCAGGAGAGTGCCGTCTGGTCTTGAAAGTGGGCTGGGGAGTTGGGGATGGGAAAGGGTCTGGGAGGAGTTGGCGAGAAAGAGCTGGAGGCTGGAGAGGCCTGGTCAGCTTGTGATGCAGGGATGCAGACCCCAGGCAAGCTCAGGCCCCAGCCCCAGGCCCAGCCTGTGTCTTGCTGTGCATCCAGGCCTCTGAGGCAGCCGAGGCCTTACCGTAGCTGCCCTGTATGGTGTCTGGAGGAAACAGGGGGCAGGGAAGTGACAGCCCTCCAATTCAGCAGGGAGAGAGGCCCAGCAAGGTCCCCGTGGCCCTTCCCAGATGGAGCGAGAGGGGAGGACTGGGCATTGGAATAGTGGAGAGGTGAGCCCAGAGGGGAAATGGGGAGGAAGGGAACAGTTTGATGGAGCTCCAGGGCTGAGCGGATGCCTCTGCCCTGCGATCGTGGTGTTCTGGCTCCCTCCTCCAGCCAGGTGTTCCAGGGACAGAGACATTGTGTCCTAGGTTTGGGAAAGGCCCTTTGACCCAGGTCCTCATTGGAGCCTCTCCCGCAGCAGCTCCAAATGCTCGTGGACTGCCAGGATTCGTTCTTCCCTGGCAGAGTTTTGAGGGATCCCTGGGTGTGTCAGAGACAGGCAGGATAGGGGTGGGGGGACCTGGTGGCTCTGTGACCATAAGAGGGAGCCCAAGGGGCACGTGTGATTCTCTGTAAAGGGGGTCCCGAGGGAGATGAGTCGAACATCCTTCTGCCCACTCGGATGGGCCGAGCAGAGGTTGGGCAGACCCCTGGTGCCACCCAGGGGTCTGTGGACGAGTCTGTACGTGGAACAGTGTCCGTGGCCCCCTTCCCTGGGATGTTCGTTCATCACCCCCGCCTCCTGGGTCTTCTCCCCTGCTTTGGTCTTTCCCAGCTTCAGGATCTGGATCTGGGCGGGGGGCGGGGGGGATCAAGGAGGCCGATGCCCTTTCCGAGGGCTGCCTCCTGCTCCTACATCTCTCCACCCTTGGGATCCTTGGAGAGGCTGGGGGCAGAGTCCCGGGGCTACTTTTCACCCGGGTCGAGGCCCCGGAATCCCGAGACTGGAGTGCCCTGGCCAGTGGTAACACAGAACGTGTGCGCGCGCGTGTGCAAGTGTGGGTGTATGTGTGTGCGTTTTTTGCTTGTCTCTTTAGGGAACTTAGGAGTCGGGTTGGAGGTGGTTGGCAATGGGATGTCAAGTTCACTATCACCCAGCGGCGGAAGGAATCAGGAGGCAGGGCTCGTAGGGCCCCTGATTGGGGGAATCTCAGTGTCGGTGACGGTGGGATCAACCACACAGGGTGGCGCTCCTCTGTCCTCAGATGTTGAAGTGTTGGAGGACCTCTGTTTATTTCCCACGCTTGGACTTTTCCCAGCTGCGAGGTAATTGGAGAGGGATAGCCCACTTTTGTTTCTAATCAGTGTTCCACAGCTTGAGACTCTCCTGCGTGTCCACATGTGTGGCTCATGTGTGTGACAGAGCACATCTGTGCGTGCATGCTGTGTTTCCCCACCTCTCCCCTCTCTGACATGTCATTCAAAACAAATGTAAGAAATTCCTCACTCCATCCCCTCCTGCCTCCCAGACCCTCTGCAGGAAAAACCGAATAACCCAGCATCCTCCTGATGCCCTGGCTGTGTATTTATATAGATGGAAATATACTTTCTATTTTGTATCATCGTGCCTATAATCTCTGTCACCTTGTATAAACCCTGATGTATGCTACTTACCCTGGATATGAATGTATTGTACACTGATGCTGTCCCACTCCTGTACAGCTGCTTTGTTTCTTTGCAATCCATGGTATGGCTTTATAAATGATAAAGTGAAAGAAAAATCTGTGCTGTTAACTAGCTGTGTTGTTTGGAAAGGGGATCCATCAGGTCTCCAGTGGGTAAAAAGGGGCCTCACCCAGGCTCCGGATATGTGGTGGGCTTCAGGGATGCCGGTGGCGGACGACTCACCCCAAATCCTCCCAGGGCTTCCCTGCCATCCAGGTCTTGGGTCGGCTTACAAGGAGTGTTTCATCTGGACTGTTTTAGCTAGAAGACAAACTCACATCAAAATGGTTTCAGGAGGGCCTTGCCTGGTGGCGCAGTGGTTGAGAGTCTGCCTGCCGATGCAGGGGACACGGGTTCGTGCCCCGGTCCAGGAAGATCCCACATGCCGCGGAGCGGCTGGGCCCGTGAGCCATGGCCGCTGAGCCTGCGCGTCCGGAGCCTGTGCTCCACAACGGGAGAGGCCACAACAGTGAGAGGCCCGCGTACCGCAAAAAAAAAATAATAAATAAAATGGTTTAAGGAAAAAAAAAAAGGAATTTAGTGGCACACATAACCAAGAAGTCCAAGCACAGCTGGTTCCAGGAGCTCAAATGGCAGAATCAGGAATTTGTCTCTATTACTTGGTTCTGAGTTGGCTTAATTCTCAGGCAAGCTCTATCCCAGTGGTGGTACCACCGGATGCTCCAGAATATGGCCACGCGAGGCTCCAGGCTTTCATCCTACCAGCAACAAGAGAGCTCTTTTCTCCCAGTGCTTTCAACAAAAACCTGGGACAAATGCTCATTGGCTCTGATAGACCCTGCTGGGGTCATATGACTAATTCTGAACCAACCGCTCCATCTGGATCTGGGTCACATGACTGCCTCTGGAGCCTTCTGAACCACGGGGACTGAGAACGGGGCAGTGGCTGATCCCTAAAAGGGTGAGATTTATCAGAGGAAGGGGGAATAGAGGCTGCCAGGCAAAACCAGTGGCTGCCCATCAGATGGCAAGTGTGTATCTCACTCAGACACCAGGCCCAGTGGTCCTAGGTAAATTCTTCTCAACTCAGAAAGTTTGAGGTGAAGCATGCCTCGCACAGTACAGCGTTCCTTGGGAGATCTCAAATACTCATATGACACGGCTTCAGTTCCTCATCGAGTTGATCTGAGCTCGGATGAGCTGATTTGGGAGAGTGTGTGTTGAGACCCGCACGCGGCCAGCACAGTGAGTACCGTGACACATGGCAGTCTTCTCAAACTGTGTGGTCTCAGGATTCCTTTACAGTCTTAAAAATATTGAGGACCCCAAAGAGCTTTTGTTCACCAGGATTATCTCTTTCCATATTTACCATATTATAAATTAAAGCTGAGAACATTTAAAAAATGTTCACTAATTCACTTCCGCAACAATGTTAAACTCACTACGTTAACATAAATTGCATTTTTATGAAAAATTATATTTTCTAAAACAAAAAAGATTGGATGAGAAGGGTAACACTGTTTTGCAGTTTTGAAAAGCCCCTTTCACGCCTGGCTTAACAGAAGCCAGCTGGATTCTCCTGTCTGCTCCTGCATTCCCTTTGTTGTGATATCACACATATGTACCTCTGGAAAACTCCACCATACACTCGTGGGAAAATGAGAGTGAAAAAGACAAATAACAGTTTAGTATTATTAAGAAATTAGTTTCGATAGTGGTCACTTTACACAACCTCTGAAAGGGTCTCAGGGATCTCTGAGGCCCCAGGCTATACTTTGGGAACTGCTGCTCTGAGGGACAAAGACACGTGGAGCACGGACACCCTGCCTGTGATGGTGGATTAACATGTACTGCACCTCTACTGTGTGCTAGGCTCCGTCCTGCCTAATCTTCCCAATGAAGCCCTGAGGCGGGTGTTGTTATACCCAAGTGACAGACAAGGAAACTGAGGCCGTGAGAGGCCACACAGCTTCTAACTGGCAGAGGTGATGCTTCTCACCACCAGCGACAGCTGGCGTTTAGCACACCCGCTAAGTGCCGGGGATGGCACTGAGCACGTATGTGTATTTTCTCATGCGCACACACCCAGTGAGATAAGGGCTGTGTCCCTGTCTTCATTTTATAGAGAAAGAAACAGATTCAAAGGGGTTCAGAGAATGCCCGAAATCACAAAGTTGCCAAGGGGCAGAGCCAGGCTATGAACCCAGGCGAGCTGACTTCCCAGCTCATGCCTCTCCCTCTGCTCTCAGGGTTTGCACCAGGAGGGAAAGACAGACTGATGAGTGACGGGCAGGCAGGAGAGCAAACTGATGGCATTGGTTAGACAGGGATTCTAGGCCTGGGCAGTGGTGCTGGCTTGCCGGGGAGTGGCCCAGGGCTCCTGCTGCGCGATGGGGGAGGGCACAACCAGCTGTGGAGCGATGTGGCTACCCAAGGCTGGGCCTGGTGCAGGGGATGAGAGAGCTAGGTCTGTGCGCTGGGCTGATCTAGCCTGGCTTTGAGGGAACTAAACAGCGAGGCAGGGTGGGGCCCAGAGGAAGAGGAAATGGGCTGGAGCTGCAGCGGGAGGGGTAGGGAGCTGAGCGCTCATGACCCATCTCAGTACACTGAAGACCCAAAGGACCTTTTCATTTCTTGTAAAGTGTGTGGTCCATGCACTGTCAGCATCGACCTTGGTGGAGAGCTTATTAGAAAGGCAGAATCTCTGGTCCCACCTCAGACCTGCAGATCAGAATCTGCATGTTAACAAGACCCCCAGGAAACCTGCGCAGGCACTGAAGTCCGAGCAGCCTGGGCAGGTCTCACACAACTGGGACTTGACCCCAGGGCTCGAGGCGCTGAGCTCAGACCTTGCCTCAGCACCTCCTGAAAGGTCAGGACTGCAGTGCTCTTGTCTGGGTCTACGCTGGGGGTAAGCGGTGGGGCCCGCCCTGCTGCTGGGGTTCTGGAGTCTCTGCAGAGACTGGGGCCAGGTAGGGGCGAGGCCTGGCCTGGCGAGCAGGAGCTCCTGTTGCAGCGGATGGACATGCAGGGTGTGAGCAGAGTCCCGCCTGGGAAGAGGCAGGAACGTCAGCTGAGGAGAGGGCAGGAGGGGCATAGGGGTGGGGCTGGGGGCCGTAGGTGAGGAGTCTCACACTGTCTCAGACTTGGCTGAAAAGTACCGAAGCCCGGGTCCCACCCAGAGGTTCCGAGTGAATTGGTCAGAGGACCAGCTGGGGCGCTGGGGTTTTTCGTCTCTCCCCAGGGATTCTACAGGCAGCCAGGGCACAGAAGCACTCCTTAAATGGACTCTTCCGTGGCAGGTGTGTGTGTGTACCGGAGACGGACAGGGAGGAGAGCGGAGTGTGGAGAAGTCCCCCCGGACTGGCTTGGGCTTCCCCACAGCCAGCCCTTCCCCACGTCCCTCCTTCTCGGGGGCGGGAGAATGCTGTCCAAATGTCCCTCCCCTGCACCCAGGCCGGGCTTTACCCAGCCACCTTAAGGGCCAGTCTTTCTAGGGGGCATGCCCTCTAGGGCCTATAGACAGACAATGGTGCGAAGGGAAGGGCCTGGAGAATCTAACTCCAGGGGCTCTGGAATGCCTCCTTATCGGTGTTAGATCAAAGTCTGCCTCCTTCTATGAAAGAACTGGATTTTCCTCATTAGTTGGTGAAAATGACTATTAGTCTTAGCAGTTTCCAAGCAGTTCAAAATAGGGAAAGGATACGGCCACTTATACAAACACTGACGGTTAAGTGTAGGAACACACACACATACACACACACACACAGGAGACCTGGCCCCTTGGGCCGTGCTGAGTCTCCACTCCTTCCTCCTTCCTGCCAACGTTCTGTTCAGGCCCAGGGGTGGGGTACCAGGCCAGCAGGGGGACAGGGCTGCCCCACAGCGTGCCGACCCCTGACTGAGCTAATTAGCAGAGCTGCATGATCAGAGGGGGGAGAGAGCACCCCCATGAGTTCTGGGGGTCAGACCCACTGGGAGGCCTGGTGCACACGGCACATGGCACGTGAGCAAGCTGCAGTCGGTGCAGAAGGGCCCGGGAGACCTCGGCTTGGAGAATAGATGGTGCTGGGAGGATGGGATGCTGGCTGTCCAGTGTGCGATGGCCTCTCTTGGACGAGAGAGTCAGCCCTCTCTGGGTGTCACACTGTCGTAGGTGAGGGCCACAGGGAAGTCAGAGGAGAGAGGGCTGCTGGTAATGAAAGGGATTACTTGGGAAGGGTGAGTTCCCCGTCCCTGCGGGTGTTGGAGCCAGGACTGCAGAAGGCCCCTCCCAGTCTCCATCCTGGGCGCGGCTGCATGCGCGGCCTAGGAGAGCCCCTCTTCCGGCCAGAGCCGGGAGTGCAGATGTGGCTGGGCCCAACCTCCAGGTGCCCTCCCTCGGAGCCTGCTGGCCTCAGAGGCAGGCTTGGCTGGGTGTGGTTCTGGCTTTGCTGGGATCTCTGGAAAGTTGTTTCCCTCTCTGGGCCGAGTTTTCGCATCTGTAAAGTGGGCTAACACCCACCCTGGAGGGCCGGTGTGAGGATTGAGACCACATGGCACGGAGCATGGCCCTTAGTCTACTACTGGGCTGTCGGCCCTGGAGGAGTATGTATTTCCCCCTTTTCTTGCGCCTCTTGTCTCCTCCACTCCATTTTCTCAGGCCTCTGGGGAGACTTGGCAGCAGAGAGGACTTGTAGCTGAAAGCCTCCCGAACGATATTGATCTCGCCGGCTCCTGACTCCAGACCACGGTGCTTGGGGATGGTGGTACAGCCGCCTCCATGGCTCCAGCTTTTATGGGGTTTAAAGATCATCTCTGGTCATCGAGACAGGATGTCCAGGTTCTGGGTCCCTCCTCTCAGTCTCTGCTCCATTCCCTGACTGGTCCTGGGAAACCTCACATTCCAGGGTGAGGTCCTGGGAAAGTAGGGGGTGCCCTACTTTCAGGTCACCAGCCCCCTGCCCACCTCCAGCACCATATCCTGCCTGAGCAGAATCTGACCTGACAGCACCACGACCCTCCCTCAGGGGACTCGGACTGGTTGGGGATATCAGGAGTGGGGGCACATGGGGCAGGGTTCCTTGAGGAGGGCAG